AGAAGAACCTTGCAACAATAGAATCGTTGGGCTATTGAGTGTTAACCAGTGCATTTGTGTGTCAGCAGGCTTTTTTTTTACATAATGAAGGATTTCGTTGGAGTATTTTATGTCCCTTCCTAGCGAAAACAAAACGTGGCCTTACCCCTTAGAAAGACCCTGAAGGATATACATTCTTAATTCCCCCTTCCTCTACCACCACAGGAAAGGAAAATATACACTGTTAGCTCTTTGAAAACATTTTTGCGGGATCTACCCTAGCCAATCTGATAAGCATGGCTTTTGCTTGAGTACATCACCAATGGCCACTGAAGTTACCCAGACGTCACTTTCATAGCACAGAATAGTGGTCATACAAAAGCTGTGCTGACTTACAGCAACAGAAATATTTCACTAGAAACCTCAAGCCTTCATTTTGATAAGATGTGCTTGTGCCTTTGTGTGTGCAGAGGATTTTTTGGTCATGGAGTCTCAGTTTTAATTAATTTCATTCTCTGAAGACAATGTGCTCTTTTCCGTGCTTGACGATCACCATGAAATGGACAGAGTTTTCATCATGCTAATGTGAAGCAGAAGCATCAGGTTGTATAATTTCTCATTCTCCTTGCCAGGTCTCTGTACGAGGGGCAACAACCACTCTTACCCCCTGGACTGTGACTATGATTCAACCCAGGTCCTGGAGATGGTCAAGAGGAATTGCGACTTCAAGCAAGAATGCCGTCTCAATGTCCAGCTAGCTGTGGTCCTAGGAGATCCCTGCCCAGGAGAACCCAAATACCTCGACATCAAGTACACTTGCCATAGGCCCCGTAAGTTCACTCAAGTGAAGTTAACAATTCTATCAATTTGAAGGATCATTAAGGGGTTTGCTGGAACAAACTGCCCTTTCAACAGAAATGTATAGCTTGATCATATTATACAAATTGCCCGATTAAAAGAGTGGTCTTGACACTGACGAGCTTTCTTTTTTTCTCCCGTCAATTTTGAAACCAGGAGGGAATATGGCCCAGTATTACCCCACCAACACAAGTAGTGCATCTGTCAATGATGGCAGTTATGCAATTGATGGGATCTACAAGTACAGTTGCAACAGTCTTTGCTATCAGTCAGAGGAGGAGCAGGCGCCTTGGTGGCTGCTGGACCTTGGTATCCAGAGAGATATCAACTTTGTCCAGCCAAGGACGTGTGGTAACAACCATAGTAAGTTGGAGTTCACATTTTCTTGCCTTTTGTCCACTCGTTCCAAGGTGATGTTCAAACTTGTGACAATTTAAGTTGGTATAGACCTTATGTGTCTGAAGTCACGTTAAAGGGTATGTCTTTCTTCCTCTGGGATACACTCTAGTAAACTTTTTGTGCTCTCATTGTAATGATGTTAAAATAACAAAGAATAGCCTCTGAGACATCAGCAACGCGTAACCACTATTGTTTGGATAGTCAATTATTGATCAATATTGCTATTGTTTGTATAGTCAATTATTGATCAATATGTTATTTTGTAACATTTCTATATTCAAATAATTTAATACTTTCTAGAAAAAGACTGATGGTAAAAATTGGCTTCAATCTTCTTAACCAATGATATCAAGCATTCTCAAAAATGAACTGCTTTGTTGTTGGTGACCAAACCCTGCATCAACATTAGGGGACGAAAAATCTGCTGTTCGGTCAATTAACCTGTAATAAAAAAAGATGGATTTTTCAATGACAAAGTTGATGTACATGTACCCTTATGTGGCACAGACTGTAACGTGGTGCACTTTGATTTTTCTCCAATAGTATCTTATCAGAGCAATATCTTTTACCCCAAATTTCACAAAAAGTGATATTTTGTTAAGCTCTCAATATTCTGATTCACAAAGCTCTGATAAAATAGTTGTGGCTGCATTTCCCAACGGTTTTGAAAGCGCAAAATGAACTCTTAAAAGTGTGCCCCAAAATATGGAAACAATTTCTAACAAACTTTCAGTTGGGGATGTGAGTGGAGGTATTAATGATTAACTAAAACTTATCAATTTTAAAGAACTTCTTAAATGTGTATGTAGAATCTTCTGAAATTATATTTCAAGTGTGCCATGTTTAGGAACACTCAGCTGAATTGCCAATAACGTTTTTTCATTGCACTTCAGTCGTTTACTTAGCGGGAGCCCAAGTCCGAATTGGAAATAGCCCCAACTTCCATGACAACCCCATCTGCGGTCGCAACATTACAGTGGATGACAACTATCTTGTGCAAATATACTGTGGACAAGTCATGACCGGGCAGTACGTTAGTATTGAGGTGCCAGACCGCGTCACGAATCTCAAGCTGTGTGAAGTCAATATCATGTACAGTAAGTGCTGTAATTTTTTGACATATAACAGTCGATAGTACGTGAAATTTTGCCACAAAAGTAAGCAACTTTGTTCTGCTATTTTCAGCTTTTGATCAGACATTTACCAAGGTCTAATGGGAATGCCAAGGTCATACGGCAACACACAGAGTTTAAATGTCAGCAACACAAAACCCAGAGTGAAAGCACCTAAAGGATTTTGCTGTTGCTGTTTTAGGCATTTTGCTTGAATACATATCTGCTTTTGGTCAGATTAAATTTGAAAAAGTGGTTGGAAAATGTCTGTTGTCCAACCGTAATTCTACACTGCTTATTTAGTCTGTGGTCAAGATTGGCATTTCAAATAAAGAAATGATGTCTACCTTTAACAGTTTCCTTAATCAAGTTTTGAGTTCAAAGCTCACCCTTCCTTGTACGTGTACATGTAAATCAGTTTTTTGTATGAAAAAAATTTTTTTTCAGAAACTTGGTATAAAATGCAATGTTTGGAACTCTCATAAACTGCTTTAGTTACATATGCACAAGACTAGCAATGATATCGACCAAAATATGCAATGTGGACAAACAGTGGATCTGTCACAAATGGTGTCACAGACTGATATGATTTATCAAAATTAAACCTTGCATGCATCTTAATAAAGCTGCTGCTTCGTGATATCATACAGCTCCGACACTGGGGGCTCTGGCTCAACCATAGAACTATATATAAAAACAAGAGCATTAAACTTCCCATCCTTTGTGTGGAGAAAATTTGACGCTCTCCTAGACGCAGACATTTTGAACCCATGTGCGTGCTTGTAGAACAGTCGGAATCAATTAGAATGAATATTGAATTGTGTACTGTGAACGGAACGTGCATCAGATGAAATCCGATTTTAAAAAGGTTACGGCAATATTATTTGTAGCGCATATGCGCTTGCATTTACTTGGTATATGCTGAGCAAAATTAAATGCTAAGTTGGGCCTGCTGATCGTGCATTTAGGTTTTTGGCGTATCAGCTTGGTTGACGCTTTGTTTTAGAATACAGACACAGATTTGCAAATTTCCATAGGTTTGTGCACAAACAGAAATGTGCCCAGCAGGCATATTTTGTACATGAGTCAGGGCTCTAGTTTATAGAAATATCTTGATGGGCTCAATCTTGGCCCATTTTCTGCCACCAGAGGATTTGTCATACATAAGTCAGATGCCTTCCGCAGATAAATCCACAGTGGGGCTGATGCCAAGGTTTGGTACTTGGCCTTTGGCAAACATTTGAGTACATGTATCTTCATCCAGAAATGGTGTTAATTTCATGTCAGAATTCCACAGTAACAAACTGTCAACTCCTTACTTAACCATTAGACACTTTTTTTGTCTGCAATGTTTAGTGGATAGACGGGAGCAGAAAGCTGTGGCCTGCGATGGACAGAAGCTTCAGCTATCCTGCCACTTTGTGAGTCCCTACCACTTGCAGATCAGCGATGCCTTCTATGGACGGGCTGTGGATGGCACAGTGTGCCCACACAGGCTGGCTAATCACACCTACAGCACCGGCTGCTCAGCTGACCGCACCACCATCCTTGACATAGTCAAGAGCAAGTGTAGTGCTGAGAGATACTGTGTGGTGGATGTGAAGACAGACATCTTAGACTCGCTGTCCTCCAGCGCGGCTGGGGATCCTTGTGCAGGAGAGTTCAAATATCTTGAGGTTACCTTCCAATGTAACCGATACGTGGCTGGTACGCTCAACAACTTCATAAACCTGTTATTCCATTTTTCAAATCATAGGTCCTTTAATACAGTACATGTATGTTCACTCTTTTCTCTAATATAGGCCTATGTATATCTGTGCATTTGAATGATAGATTTCATACAATACCTGCATAAATCCCTGTCATCTGATTGGTGGATTATTGATTACATCATTGAATTATTAACAGGATCCATTAAACAGAGCTTTGTGTCACTTGACTGGTTACTGCCCCCATTTTATATATACACAGTAAGAAAGAGCAAAGCAATTTAGGGACGGGAACCAGTTTAACCTTTCACAGAACTACCAAGGAGTGGTGCTTCGGACACAAATCTGTATAACAAAATGGCCAACGTTTATTAATATGCAAACACTGTTAATTTGTTCCCTTAATAGAGGAAGATTTATGCAGTTATTGTGTAAAGCAAGAATAATGAATATTTTGCATCCTTGCTGTGGTAGGAATAAGTTTTACTCAGTTTTCATTGCCTAGGTTTCTAAGACATATTGACCAAATCGTCACGTGTGATTTATTCATGGGGTATGGCGGCATGAAATATAAATGCCCAGAGAAAGAAAACACTGGTAAATTAAATTGAAACTACACGGATACATGTTATTTTCAATTGCTAAGATCTAAGGGGTTTAATATTAACCCCACCAGGGCAGGTTTGAACAACATTTTCCTGCTTTTTGAGGTTTGTAAGGAGCTGCTCCATTAGCTTTCAAGATAGCCTGATGGATTGAAGCATGCCACGTTCAAAGCTAGAGTGTGTGAAGACACTGAAACACAAACCAGTGCATGAACTAGAACAGAGACAGCTGATACTGTATTCCTAGTTAAAATGTCTGTAGAAATTGCATGTCATGTCATGTTTTCCTCGTCAAAATTCTTCCTGTCCAGGTGAACCAGGTCAGCAGGTCACAGCTGTAACAGGTCAGGACTCTTCCATTGAAATTGGCTGCATTGGCTTCAAAGGCGTCATCGATGTCAACAGTGCCTACATCAAAGCATCAACAACCTCTGTCCCACCATATGAACCTCAAGACCCAAGCATTGACAGTATGTAAATTGTTCTTTCTTATGTTCTTGAAACTTGGCCTACAGCCAGCATCTCTGACTATCTTTTTATTCATGTTATTAGCATTTTTGTCAGTATTTGGAAAGACGTATTAAACTATTCAATAGGGTAAGACCATTTGACAGTTTTAGTCCTGGAAGATTTTTTTGAAATAGGAGACCAGTCTTTAGGACATTCTGAACACTACATGAGGATTCCAAGAGTATTTTATGCTCTCAAAATTATGAGGATTGTGGAATCCATTGAGGTAAAGTGTCCTGCTCAAGACAACCTTGTTATCTTGTCATCACTTGTGTTTTGACTTTCATAGCGAGTTCTTGCAGCGACCAGGATGTCTCCCCACAGATCCAAACACACTGTAATAACAAGAAGACTTGCTACATCCGAAACAGAAGCTTTTGGCTCGGCAACACCTTTTGCCAAGCTATGCGCATGCACCTGGAAGTGACCTTCACGTGTAAAGGTAAGACACTTTCTTTCATGCTTTTATGATGAATAAGTTCATTGTCTATAATAAAACTTCAATTGAACTTGTAAACTTTTCTGTTGTTTGTGCTTGATTTAAATTTTTAAAGTTAACTAGTGAATTTCCCTTCCTTTGAGATTCATTCAAAGAATGAATACTACTTTTGGGCATACGTCCTGAATTATTTCAATGAAACACTTGTAAAGTGTCCCAACTATTTTGCAACTACAACCAGCATTATCCTAAACTGCATGGAATTCTTCTACCAATAATTTGTTGTCATCAGGATATTCCCATTAAAAAAAACCCCACAGTTTCCAATTGATGGCTTTGATGTCAGTACTTTGACATTGGTGACAGTTGTCAGTTTCATGGCATCTGTGACAAAGATGCCAAGTACATGCACACATTCAATGCCAACAAAATTTCACTTAAAAATACACAAATAGAAAGGGCTGGCAGTGGGGGGGGGCTGTTTTTGTGGTCTGGGAGGACTTGACTCCTACTTTTGGCAGGTCCTTTAATGGGGCAGGGCTTAATGGATAGAACAATTAATGGCTAATGTCCGATGATCTAACAGTATAACTAGGGCTGAGTCAATTCAAATAATTCACTATTCAAATATTCAACCTTTAAGTCAATTGAATATCCCAAGATTTCGTCGTACCGACCAGCAGATTGTTGATGAACAATCCATATACAAAATCAGTTGCAATAACACACAAATTGTACATTTTAATCACTGTAATAGCTTCTCATGTCTGATTGTAACTCCCGCCATGATTTAGCAACATTTAGCCACGAAAAATACTTCTTGTCCTTTAAACTTTTTGTAATGAATAAATCAATTTTTGAATCACTGTAAGATTTCTATCGCTTTTCATTTGAGTCTGCTTGAAACAAGCCTCCACGTTGCAATTTTTCTCATTTAAAACAATAGAAAATTCTCCCTTCATTTTCATGAATGTTGCACTCGAATATTCAAATTCGGAAAATAATATTCGAAAATTCGATCAAATATCCGGATATTTGGCACCCCCCCGTCCTTTGAAAATTGTTTGGCTAACTGCCATTGGATGTTAGTCTTTTACAACCTCAAGTCCCAAACAGCATGAACTTCATTTCCTCGTGTGTATCCTTGCAATCCAGAGGATGTCCCTTCAGGAGATATTACTCTCTTTGCCTGTGAAAGCCTGGAGTCTGAATTGAGTCCGACGTGTCCAGATGGAAAATATATCAAGATCAAGGATGCCTTCTACGGTCGCACTCAGGTAAATAGGTTTATCCTGGGCTTTTTGTACTCACTTGATACTGTACAACCTCAGGCACAGATGAGAATGGAATGTAATACTCTCACCTCAGCTCAAATCAGCTGAGCTCAACTCAGCTCAGGTCATCATCAGGTCAGCATCAGGTCAGCCTCAGTTTTGTTCCGTTATGCTCAGCTCAGGTTTGATTCCCTCAGCTCAGTAATGGTTAAATGAAACAATGTACATTTTGTGAGCATTGCTTAGCTTGACTTGATTCAGTTCACAGTTCTGTATAGTTCATGTCTGTCTACCCAACTCAGCCTACATGTAGTTGTGTTCAACTCGGCTCATCTCAACTCAATAGATTGATTGCACCCGCTAAGTCACGTGACATACATGTGTGGTGGGTTTTAAATATCAACAAACACAGTGCCCACCTGAAGCAAATTGTTTTCTAAGTGTCATTTACCAAATTAAAATAAAGCCAATCGGCTACATGCACGTACTCAGACTACTGCAAATTGGCTTTATTGTTTGTAAACAACACGCAAAACACACGTTGCTATTGGGTTGATACCGACTATAGATCATGTGATTTAGCGAGCACAGTTGGTTTAATCTGTCACTAAGACAATCCACCATTCATGCCTCTTGCTGACATTGTTATTGTCATTAAAGTCATTAAAATAGCATGAATATTCAGCAGTGAGGACTAATATACTCTCTCTCAGAAAACAGATGTTTGAAATTTTGGATTTACATGTAGATTAAAAAAGGTATTCCTAGTATTTTACAAGGAATTTTGTTAGGAGTAGATAGGGTTAGGACAGTGATTGAGCAAGTGGATTGGGCTGTCATGCCATTTTCCCATCACAATTTCTGATTGTGCTGACTGGGACAATGTGTGGGGTTGTTATAAACTGCTCCACCTTTCCTTCGGTGATTCACCACATAAGCATTATATCGGAATTATGATGCAAAGCGAAGCTGAACTTGTGGAATTTGAGCAAAGGTTCATCGGCATTCAAACCAGGATAATGTATTTCTGTCACAGTAGAGGAGAATTAACTCCAGCGTCACACACTATATTTATATCAACCTGAAAAGCGTGTCTTTTATTTTCACACCTTGTGGTGGATTGCATCTGCTCTGTCCACAGGTTGGCAGTTCATCTCTAGTTTGTCCACATACTACTGGGCAGGATGATACTACATCATGTCGCTCCACTGATACCTTGGACATTGTCAATGCGTATTGTCAAGACCAGCGTTCTTGCAGTCTACCGGTAAGTACACCACATCTTAATCACTTGTGGATGGTTTTATTCCACAAATTCCGCAAAAGTACTGCAGTGGGAAGCAATATCCCCTGCCTTGGGGAAAATTGCAGATCTTCTGTCTTCAATCCAAAATGTCAGAGCTGGATAAGCAGCAAACTTAAGAGAGAAAAATGTGGCAAGATTTTAAGGGTTTCCCGATAAAAGGTGGGCAGTTGTGGGAAGAAAACAAATTTTGGTTTGTTGGCTTCTTAGCTAATGACCAAATTTTGTGGTTTTTGCATATATTTGTTCGGCACATACTGAAAGTATTTTGATTGACTTAGCCCAGATTAAGTGAGCCAGTTGTAAAAAAATGAGGTTTTCTAGGCTGCTATGATTATCAGGCAGATCTTGAAGCACACACCACTATTACTTTCAGAACTTAATTACCAAGCCGTTACCATGCATCATTTATTATTAGCATTATTCAGTTGTTGGAAATGTCTTGCATAAGGAAATCTGTTGTCACAATAGCCACACACAACAGAATCAGTACCACATTTGTGTTGGCTCTGTGGAGACTCAAAGCATACATGTAACATCTACATAAATGTAAGATCTAACTGCGAAACATTTTAAATATAACCTAATCAGAAAAATTGTAAATGTAACTTATTAAACTTGCATGTAGATAGAATAAGACATAACCTACGGTGAAGAATCTGCATATGAGAATCCTCTTAACTCCTTGACGCTGGGACTTTTTTCTGAAAGCCCACACCGAGAATTCCAGCCTCGCTTGGCCACGAAGGCCACCTGCCAAACCGCAAATTCTCGGTTTGTGGCCCTGCGTGCTCTGAACGCTTTGATTTACACGGTGAAAAGGCTCATTGTTTGGTGGCATGCAGCTCTATTCATGCTTCCACATTCCCGTTGCCTCTTTTCAAAGTGGGGACTATTGTGAAGCTGGTGATTACGATGCAAATTCTGTCTTTTCATTTCTGGGCTAAGCACAAAGACCGATTACCATATATACAAGAGCTAGGGTATGCCTTCTTTCACCGTGTTCGCTTGAGCGTGGGCCGAGAAAATCCTAGAGACCGTAATAAGACAGTTCCCTTTCTGATTCTTGTGGCTTATGGAAAGTAATAGACAGTGTACTAGTATATCAGACCTACCAACAGTGTATAGCTGGCAGTACATAGAGCACTGCTACACTTTAGGTGTGAGGAACTCAAGGATTGCTGTAAAAAAACAAGAATATTTATGAAAATATACGCAGATAAGTAGAGGGCATTTTGAACAACCTGATACAAAGTTTATAATCACAAGTTTGCTCAATCGCAAGCCTCTATTTCCCATGTATTCAAGTTCTCTGAATTTAATTTCATGGTTCTTCATATTATCTCTTATGTACAGTAATAAGTTGCAAAGGCCTTAAATATCTTTCCCAAAAATACATGCATATTTGCAGAACAAAATTTCCCCCAAAATGGACCTTAATGTCTTTCTCAAAATACATGCACATATGTAGAACAAAATTTTCCCCCAAAACAGCCCGTATAGGAAACACCAATACTAAGTCATCTGCCATTTAAGAATGTGTAAATGGACTTACCATGCAGCGTCCCTCGACCCGTGCCAATTAATAATGCTGTATGCACCAAGGCAAATAGATACAGCTTGTTTCATGCAATGTAACAATGTACAGTAGCAGCACAGCAGCAGAGAGCGATGACGCGATGAGGCTCTGAAGCAGAGTGATCTGATTACTATGTTTCTGCCCACTCCACAGGGTGGGGTGGATCACAAAAGCTTTTCATACCAGTGAACAAATGCAGGGCAGAAACAATTATGTACATTATGACCTGCACAGTGATTCTCAGATTAATGTCATTAGGAATTTAACATTCATTTTTAATATATATATATAATTAATTATACTTAATAATTACATGTATATCCAAATTTTTAAGCTACTTGTTAAAATTGAAAATGAGGCTCAGAACCCAAATAGTCTGGCACCACCCCATTTAACAGATTACATAGGATACATTCTGGGTACACAATCAAAAATTGCTACCTGGAAGATAAGGTCTAACTGTACAGAGCCCAAAGGCTCTCACACTTACAATAGCAGTACCTAATATACTAACAGGCAACATATTTTATAAATATGAAAACACAATACAATCTCCGCTTGACCCAGTCACCTTTTTAATGGAAACATTTTAACTTCTTACAGATTATGTTTTTTTTCTGGCAAGGGGAGCTCAGACAACTCAATTGTTTTTAGTTACTCTTTCTGGCTCATCAGTAGGACAATAACGTGTAAACAATATGTTGAATGACAGACTGATCAAGAGGACTTGACATCCAGCGATCCCTGCAGCAGTATCAAATCCAAGTATCTGGAAGTCACATACAGCTGTGAAGGTTAGTAAACCACTTCATAGTATTACATCACACAGCAGCGGACCTGAGCTGAATTGAGTGTTTTGTAGGCCCCGGGCACCAGTGTTCCATGGGCCCTTTAGGTACCAAAAACAATTGCTGAGTTCTTACTCTTTTGGAGAGGGTGTTACACTTTGGTGGGCCTTTAAATTTTCCAAAGGCCCTTGAAATTTTGTATGCCCTAAGCACGGTGCTTACAGTGCCTGTAGGGTTGGGATTAAGGTTCCTGGGTTTTGATTGGAGTGTTAGAGGCTTGACTTTGTGCTGTGCACCCTTGGACAGCCGCCCCCCTCCCCGGTTCAATTTTCTGTAATCTTGAGGTGTCATTAAATTCTGTAATTACTGGGTGTTTTCTGAGATCTTGTGGGATTGTGGGAAACATTCACAAGACTGTTTGCTTAGGATCAGTGACCACATCCTCCTACTTTAGCTGGTTTTCATGATGTCAAAATCTGCTGTTGGGTTGTAAAGGATCATAAACTAATGATGGTATTACACTAGGTTATCTTAGACAAAGAAGACCTTGCAACCAAGTATTACTCTGATAGATGGTATCAGACTGGACCAATGTCTTCCTCACTGAAAACCTAGGTTATGCTTCATACATGTACATGCTGTGATCATATATACTAAATGTGCATATTCCTTACAGAGGGACGTCCTCTGAATGATTTGACGTTGTACTCTTGTGAGGACCATGCGGATTTATTTCTAGAGTGTCCAGAAGAAGCAAGTCACATTAGAATCATAGCAGCTGACCTTGGACGATCAGAAGGTAAGGATCTTAAAGACACTGTCAGCTAAGAAAGTTGCTAAACCTTGTAGTGTTTTTTTCTTCACACTTTTAATTGCCTTCCCACTTAGCCATGCTTTGAATGCAATGCAGGGGCACTAACTAAAGCCAAGTTTATGCATACACTTGGCTCACTTACGTGGCTGGGAGTATATATAAGTTTTCATTGGAATGTGCACAAACACGTGCATGCCTGTAGGGAGTACGAGTCAACTTCATAACCTTGGTCTTTGCACCATTAATAGGGTATTTATAAACAGATTTCATTATTCATTGTAGCCATGAGAGTTATGTGTCCACAATTTTCTTCTGATCTAGTCTTGTCCTCTGTTGCTTGATCTATCACAGGACAGCTTCGCTGTAGCTTCCGAGATACCTTACAAGGACCCACAGATTACACTGATTGCCACACCAGTGAGGTGCTGGATGCTGTCCGCAGTGTCTGCACCAACAAGAGGAACTGTACTGTATCCAACTATTGGGCCAACTACACTACCACAGAGCCCTGCTTTGGAATCTACAAGTACTTACAGGTTACCTACAGATGCCTGTGTGAGTACTGCTTTAAGTAACCATATCATTGCTGACACCCCAAACTCTGTGGTTCTTGAGTGCATTCTGTTTGCACCAAAGACCATGCACCACGGTTATTGCAGTACAGACACATTAAGTTTAGTCTGAGAGGAATAGCTATGACTGTGACGTGATGTAAAGATCATGGTGCTTTCCATTCTGCTCATCGGACCAATCTCTGCCCTTTCAGGTACCCAATTACTCCTCGATGGGTGGGAAAAACTAATGAGTGAAGAGTGCCTTGCTCAAGAGCTCAAGCATCATGACTCCAGGCTGGATTTGATCCCGCAACCTTTTGCTTTGCCCACTAAGAATCCAATGCTCTCAACCAGGAGACCACAGCACCCCACACATTAGAATTAATATTGAAATTATTATAGCCCCTTAGGGTTTTTTGGCTAGGAAGCACCCTCAATCCTTCAAAAGTTGGAACTGCCCCATGGAATAATTGGATGTAGCCTCAATCCTCCAAAATCCTCCATATTTCTTGAATATCTGTGGAGAAGTGCACACTGCCTCAATCCTTCAAAATCCTCCAGCAATTGCTCTCATGTTAATGCAGTGTGAATGGTATCCTGGAGCAAGCTGTATGGATGATTATATGTACATGTATAATTTAGGCATAAATAAATTTATGCATGGTGGAGCATAAACCATACATGTACATGTACAAGGTCTAACCAAAGACCTTGCTACTGGTAGGTAATTCCAGAAATTAGGGGTCTAAAAGTATGACATTTTGGTGTCCCTGTTACATCTGACCTTTGTTATTTGACACCGAAATATCACCAGAATTGTTTTCAAACTGTTACTATTTGTTTGGCTGGTGATTTGCATTAACTCATCACTCTTGGAAATTAGAAAATTTGTTCTGAACTTACAAAATCATATGATAGATTTAACAAGGACACAAAAAATGGACCCCTTATTTCTGGAATTACCCTGCTACAATACATCTGTTACAATCAGCAATGAAATCCTCCCATACAGCCTCAATCCTCTGAAATCTTCAAAACTGCCCAGAGGATTTTGGAAGATTGAGAATGGTTAGGGTCTATTTCTAACAGAACATTACAATGAATCTTTCAATTGTGAGGGCGGTCCTGCCTTTAATAATTAGCTAGTTAGGTATTTTAATAGTATACATGTGTATGCCCAAAATGAAGCATATCCAAAGGTCAATTAGAAACAGCAATACACTATGCATGAGATCTGTCCTATCCGTATGGCAATATCCATGCTGATTTGTATGCTTTTGGATGACCTGTCATTGTGTCGTCTTTCCTTTTTTCCCATACAGTGGACCCAGCAGACAACAAGCCCTCTGAGGCCTCTATGTTCTTCATGAACCCCCAGCCTTCCCTCAAGTCTTACCGGCTAGAAGGTCATGTACTGGCCTCTAGCCAACAGCGCAACATCCTGACCTGTATGCAGCAGTGCTTGGCCAACCCTGACTGTGCCTCCTTTAACTTCCGCACCAAGCGAGGAAATAATGGCCATGTGTGCCAGCTGAACGACGCCATCTACGAAGAGGTCCAGTCTGATTTCAAATACAAGGTTGACTACTTGTATTTCCAGAGGGATTCTTACAGAGAGCATTAGCAACTCTAGCAGAGTTGTCTGAACTCTCTTTCCCTCAAGATTCAGCAGCACAACTGGGTCCAATTTTGAAGGAGACACGTGGGGAGACGCTCAATTTCTGAAGGAGGCCATCAACAGTGTTGTATTCAAGTCCATCACAAGTCCCTGCAAGTCCATCACGTCATTCCATTTCAAGCCAATTCATGAGCTATTCAAATGAACTGTGACAAAAGCATTCCTTTGTCATTGTTCACCCTGGTACTTATGGGACTTGTGACTGGACTTGTGAAGGGACTAGTGAAGGACTTGTGATGGACTCGAATGCAACACTGGTCATCGAAGCATTCTTTCATGGTATTCCTGAAAGTTTTTTTCTCCAAATTATGTAAATGCTGATCATGGGGTGCAAGGGGCCACAAATCTTAAGCCTTAAGGTGTGATTTTTCAGTTTCAAAAAATATTGGCACTACATTTTTTTTCAAAGAGCTTTACGAATCGCAGCCTCTGTGTACAGAATAATCATCTGCTTCAATCCCAGTCATCCATTTTTTTTTCCTTCTAATTCTTGAACACGGAGCCCTTTCACTATTAAGATTACTCCCTTCTTATGCGTCACAGCTGCCTGTGAAAAAAGTGCATTTGGCACAATGTCAACAACTTCTTTAATATTTCTGTGATTCACTTTGATGCAGTTTTTTCAGGGATTTTCTGTCACTACAGGAATTTAGGGGAAAAACTAGTCATTGTAGTTTGGAATCCTCAGAAAGTGTCCTTTCTTTGACCGTGCTTTGTAAAGCTTGATGACTTTCTTTACAACAAATGGTCACCTTCCCTAGTAGTTTTTCTGATGTCGTTACAGAATGATAGTAACTGTTTAGCATCTCACAGTGTAATTGATATTCAGGGGGTGTTGCTGTTGAAGACATACTTGTGATAATTTGCAGTGTTTTATAACTTAAATAAACAGCATGTAGAGGGATTTGTGACATGTACCTTGAGTACACAGCATGTTGTTAGCCAGTTTGATGATTAAATACTGAAGAATCATGGAGAAAATCAAGGCTAATGTTTTGTGTTCCATTATTAAACTTTTGTCCTATGCAGTTTTTAACTGTTGAATTGAAGGTTCAAAACCAGCCATACGAGAGCAAGCCTTGATACATGTATTACCAAATTAGACGTTCGGCGTACACTGTCGACAAGTCAGTGAAGAATTAAGTTTCATATAATATGTGTTTGAGAAAACATTTCAAACCATACTAACATGTGTAGTGGAACATCTTGAGTTTCAGAGTGTCCTATCGTGCAGTAATCAGATTGATGCACCTCATTGGGTTAAGAAAACTGGCCGGTGCTCATCAGATGAATTGGAGGCAGATGAAATGGCTTGTTTTTGGAACCAAGTTCTGATGACTTTCTTGTCAATATTGGTTTGTAGGTGCAGTTGCTTGATGGCATTTTTGCATTTACAGAAGCTGCTTAAATAGTATGGTTTCCATTGTCTTAAATTCACTTCAATCTAGTTGAAATTTAAATGGGTCATTAAATAAGGAAGCCAACCAGAGCTCTGCCCCCCCCCCAAAAACAGGAATTTCTAGATCTACTCATTTTGCAGAAATCGATGTTACAAGATGCTGCTAAAATGGACAAGTCAAGCCGGTAAATGTCAACGTGTTCGTGATGGCGCTGCCACCAGCATAAAAAAATATTCACTGACTTTAATATAACAGATAAGAAATGACTCATTGTATCTCATAACCTAAATTCATGCGGCAAAAGCTGAACCTCATACAGCGTAAGCTGAACCTGCAAAGACTAGACATCGTAATATGCCAATACCACACCATCCCCCATATTTGCATTCAATGACCATGAGAGTTGTCCAATCTACATGTAGCAACACCTTCACACAGTATGCCATCTCAGAAATGACTCTCAAGTACCAAGTGGTAGCCAAATCAGAAGGCAGCACATGCTAGGGTATATTATGTGACCTTTTCGATACTGTACTCGCCCTCTGTGGAGCACGAATCAGCCTCCATCAGGAGCTTTGAGTGAATACTACTGTCAGTCACAGTGTCTCAGGTTTTACAACCCACAAATTACAAGCAATGATTGCCACAGACAGCAAACACAATCGGCTCCACTTGCAAAGGCATGTCGCAATATCAACACTGGAATGAAATCGTCAAGTTTTTAGCTACAGTGAGACTGAATCTGGGCAGTGTAGTGCATAGAGTGCATGTATCCTGATCTCGTGTCGGGGAGGGGGTTGAGCATGTTTTTAAAACTGTCTAACTTTGTTCACCTGTAAAACAATCCCTCTGCTAAAAGTAGCAGAAAAGAAAGATGGTAGTATCGTTTCTAGAATGCTAGTGCTTCCAATTCCTAAAAAACCAAAATAACAACCTGTCTTCACCGTGGGGAAAATTTCCCTGAGGAGACTGGTAACATCGTGAGTAGTGGAATGCCCTCTAGCAGTAGGTTGAAAATATCCAGAAGTTATTGAAAGCACCAGGATTTCACAAACAATTAGGCGAGGGAAATCAAGATTCTTTTACGGATGAAAAAATTTGAGCAGTCGTTTTTTCGAAAAAATTCCATTTTACCACTTTTACTATGATCGTGGACAAAACAGTCCTAAACCAATGACACTACACTAACCAAGATATGGTATAGCTATCAGAAACCTATTCCTTCAATTCCAATGTACCGGACATACAAAACTCAACAGTATTTCTCATTTCTGCAAGTACACATTGAAGTACACAACAGAACAAGTCTTATTTCCATGTAAGAAGCTTATCGATATTACAATACTTGGTCCATATAATAAATCTGTATTCATGGTATTAGACATTCTTTTATCTCACATACTTACACTTCAGAATACATACACTGCTTACGAATGTCACATGAATGTTGTAGGTTACAAATTTAAGCGATGTTAACTTGGTGATGGAATATACATATCTTTGAAAATACAGTCCAAGTTGGTATAATTTAGATCTATGTTGGATGTCATTTCTCATCCTGGCCTAAAGCATTTCTCTACTGAAAGATTTCAACTCGATCGTTTGGTCTTCATCTGCCCGGTGACCAGGATTTCCTGATCCAAGATCAAAATTTACTGAGACCAAAATTCCAAATGAAGTGGCCGTACATGTCTTGGTAAGAGCCAAAAAAAAATAATAAGTTCACAGTGTCTACACATTTCACATGCTGGACGGCCCCCTCCCGTCTTCAGCAGATAAGTCATGATTTGGGGGGGGAGGTAAAAGTACAAATACTTGTCTCTGGGGGTGGGTCTTGAAATTTGGTGAAAGGTTTGTGAGTTTATTGCTCATCACTCCAACTGGCTGTACAAAGTACTCATGTCTGCACTCAATTTATCATTCTCAACAGAAAAGGTTACTGTTGGATAGTTGTAGCCATTTTATCAGCACTGACGTGAACATTTATCCACACGTACTTGTCCTAGCTGACCTTGCAAGAAAGCCATCAAGCATAGGTTTGTTGATGATGGTTAGACTTCTGTAATTAATTATTCAAATCCATTCTATCAAGGTTGTACAACTGTGCATAGTATTCACCTGTGGTGACAGGTTAAGGGACCACAGGGCTGTGCATTTTCATAGACACCACCTGTGGCAGAAGATATTACAAACCAGCCAGGAGTTGGTCATCACTCATTGAAGGTTTGCACTGAGCCTGTGCCACTGCAGGCTCATTGTGCACTCTGATCTACAATGTCATCCAACCAATCACAGCATACTCACTCTGCCCATGAAAGAGTATTCAGCAAGTAAATATCAGGTGAAACTTCCAGTTCAAATTTGGTGCAAAAGCAAATTGGAATTTGTGTAATACAGCATATCCTTACATTGTGATTTGCAAAAGTCAGCTCATAAGGACATTTCCAAATTTTGCCACATATGCCTCCTTATCATATCGGCATTCTACTCTCTTTTGCATCAACTATGAACTGACCTTTACTCTTTTCAAACACCTGATGCTAAAAATACTAATACATACCGGTATGTATTTACAAATCCACAAAGCTCGTCAAATTTTGGCAGTATTGACATTAAATGCAAGCACTGAATCAATCTTACAGATGAATATATATATTTCAACACAGACATTTTGTGACAGCAAATGTGAATGTTTACATAGAGTATGCACACAGCATGAACACAAGAGCATTAGTTACCAGACACCATGCTGCCACTCAATATGACGTGATAATTAATTATGCTGTCTTTAAATTCCAAATAGACCCCCAATTCTCAAATACTCCCTCATAAGAGAGAATCTTGGCGGACACTTAAAAAGGGAGGGTTCACTTATATAAAAGTGTTTGGGAAATGAATGGTTTGTATTCTGTGCTGATACAAATGCACACAGTGTGTCTACCCCAAAGTCATCCCCACAAGGATGTAGCACACATCCAACTTGGACCACGGGATACAGGGCATTCCCACTGGCCCATGTGATTGTACATACATGCTGGCTGCGTGAAGTCGGGAGTTGACTAGGGCATGGTGGACCACCATTGAATGCTGATCACACTTTGGGTTCCACTATTTGAGGTAGGGTTTCTGCGCTTGGATCCCGCTGAACTGCTGGCTGCGTGAAGTCGGGAGTTGACTAGGGCAAGGTGGACCAACATTGAATGCTGATCACACTTTGGGTTCCACTATTTGAGCTGGGGTTTCTGCGCTTGAATCCCGACTGAACTGCTGGCTGTGTGAAGTTGGGGGTTGACTTGGGTAAGGTGAGTCCATGCTTGAAGTTGCACCATCATACACGACATGAACTGCATCACCACTAACGTTGATCAAACACTGGCACTGAGAAGGCAAACGGGAAGGCAAAATAAAATGCTTAACCAATCTTGTACTTGCAAATAGGCAAATACTAGTCACAGGTACAGTGGAATGTCGCTATACCGAACATTCGGCTGTACCGAACATCGTCCATGGCTCCCAATATTTTGTGCACAAAACCTACCGAACATTATGCGGTTGCTGTTTGTAATTCCCAAACGTCAACATGATAAAACAGTTGGTGTTTTTTTACGTTGGAGAGTGACAAGTGGCCATTATTTCCCCAAGGATTAGAAGGGAAAGCCACTAGTTATTGAAGAGATAATTGTAATTAGCTAGCTGAGAAACTGGAAATGTACTAACATGAGTCATTGGTTGGCACTTATTAAAAATCGTCTTCCAGTAACGGCCAGGGCACCTTAACCACTTCCATCTGGACACGTATGCTTTATATGCGCGGCCAGGGTCTCCAAACTGCGACAAAGGGAACAGGGCCTTGTAACAAAAGACCGTTCTCAGAACAAAAGACCAGGCTGCTGGGAATTACCTAAATTTTTCACTCTCAAAAGTGGAGATAATCCAGGCTTTTTTTTTAAACAGTATACCATGGTTTGGGGCATTTAGAGTGAGCTGCATGCTAATCTGGCCCCTATTGAAAAGAGGTCAGCATCGCACTGAGCCAGGTTCGTGAACAAAAGACAGTTATATAACAGCGCACAATCTGGGCTCTTTTTACAAGGCTGCAGGCTTGACTGAAATACTCAGGCGTCAATAGATTTTGTCTGTCAGGCTAGACTGGACACCAGACAGTCCTTCACGTGTTTGTAAGTGTCCAGTAAATGAAGATAGGAATTTTTAAAGAATTTTGCGAACAGAAAAAAATGATGAATATCGCGGCCCAGCATCATCAACATTGATAACTGCCCCGGCAGGAAGTGGTTAAGTGTGAGTGCAACGGCAAAACATCAGGAAAACAGCGAAGCATAGTATCGCAAGAGGGTGCACTACTGTTAGACAAGAGAGGGCGCTATTTAACATGGCAATGAAATGTTCAGCAGTTAATTTCGCTATACCGAATGTCCCAGTACCAAACAGTTAGCGTGGCCCCATCGTGTTTGTTATAGTGGCGTTCCACCGTACATGTAATGAACATCTGGACTGGTTCATTTTCCCTTTTTTTCATATAAACCAAATGAGCAACTGACCGCAGGTTGCAAGTGAAAATCCTGCTCTGATCATAGCTCAGTCCTACTTTCCTCTCTGTACAGAAAGTTTACTCTACTAAACCAAATAAGATGATTATACAAAGGTTCATAAGGTCAAATACATCAATTTTTCATCTAAGTTATCATTCACAGAACACCAGTCACTAAGTTCAGAAGATCACAAAATGAAACTTCACTGTATGAGAGTATACATTGACTGTCAGAACTGATAAGTTAATGTTCATCAACATCAAAAATGTCAATGCACTAGCTGATTCTAGTATGTAATAAGCTTATGTAGTATTGCAACAATACCAGGCCATTCAAGCAAAAAACATTGTGCCAGATTGAACATGTTCAGTGTGAGTGAGTCAGCATATGGCCACGCTGCCTGGGATAATCTCTCACGATTCTTAATCATCTCAGCTGACCAAAGGAACCCTTGATTTTGTCTACCCACTGTTGGAGCACCCATTTGGCTCACAGCAGCAGCAAAATTGATTTCACCTGGTGATTTCTGTCTTCCAACAGGCAATCCACTAAGTTGTATGCCACCAGGGCATTGCCTCCAAGGGATGCAACATGGGACCGGATGATGGCGTTGACCTCTGAGATGAAGTTATACATGAAGCCACTCACACCTCCAGACTGTAAACCCAAACAGGCAAACGCTTCTTGAGGTCAGGTTCAATGGGCAACTTTTGAGACGCTCAGTGGCAGCAAACATACTGGCTATTGTTTGCATCACACTTGAGCTACTCTGTGCATGCTCAGAATGACACAAACAATAACGGACTGATCACATGGGTCGGTATGTTTGCAATCAGTGTCTCAGACTTCTCCCACTGGGAGTTACAATAGATAATTCATGTCATCCTTACTGCACAGTTGATATCCTGGCATTTACTGCCAATGAAATTCATAGTTCTCAAACCGTAATAACGCAGACCTTGACATAAACAATTTTACTGACTTCCACTCAGGCCCAAATGAAGTGCTCCCTGGGCCAAATGCACCGCAAACAATTCACTGTGTTTCAATTCACTGTGTAAACACAATGGATGAGTCAGCAAGAAATATAAGTTAAGACATATTTTAGGCAAATGTGTTTGTTGTACAAACCAAGATTCATCAATCACTTTCTTTGTGTTTTGACCTTGAATTGACAAAAGCCAAATGCAAAGAACATGTTGTCAGTTGTTCATCTCTACAGTTTAAGGACCAACTAGAAGTAACACTGCGGCAAGACATACATGTACACGAAGCATTGATAAAGACTACAAAAAGTTTGTTGAATTTGAATGAGAACTAAAACAGGTTAAACACACTTGCTGGTTGTTTATACTGGTTGGCTAAAACAGGGTCCAGTGGGGTTCAACAATATAGACTAGTCCATTAAATAGTGCAAACTGGACTCAGGTCAGGACATTACAGTCATGTCATTTCTGTAAATACAGTACCCCCTGAGGGCACCATACTCAAAACTTTTGACTGGTTACAGTGGCCTCAACTATAAGACCCTGGAAGTTCGCTAATTTGATATATTTGACAAGGATGTGTTAATTCAAACACACATTGGCCAGCGTGATTCAGTCACATAGTGCATGCCTATGTACCCCTCAACCCTGTGAGTGACCAGAAGAGGGTCCCCTATCTTCCCATGACCTTCAGCCTCAAAAATAGATCTGAAGTGTAAAACAGTACACTATATCTATGCTCACTGTGTACCGAGGCCAAGCTATGTGCCCATTCACTACAAGCAGTTTAAGATTGAAGTAGGTATGAACAGTTTGATGAGTTGACTAAGCAGTGTGTCATGACTGCACCTGCTTTGTATCCCAAGCAAAGTGGCTCTCTACTCAATTACACTGTGTTGCCTCAGTTCACAGGGTAGCTGAGGCTGTGCCTAAAAGTTGTGGCTGTGGATGGAAATAATACCAGATCCTATGGAAAGCCACTGGCTAACAAACGCAGACATTTTCCATGAATTTCTGTGTTACTCTAAGCCACAGTGAATGGATTTGTACACAGCCTCAGCTGTGTGAAAATTCAGGGCAGGATATGGGGTACAAAGTGAAATATTACTCATAACCAGCATCGCAGCGAAGAGGTACATGGCTATCTAAAACACCGGATGAAATTAGAAAGGTACAGCTGGGCCATCATGTAACACGCCAAGTTTGCTTCAGAGGTGTACTTTCACCACAACATATGCCTACTTTTTCAACGTCTCAAAATTGCACTTGATTGCCCATGAGATTATACACACTGAACAGCAGTATACAGTTTCAAGTACAACTGATTCAAACTACAATAAATGTGACCTGCTGTGGATCTGGTCTCACATCTGCTTGGTTGCCTTACCTCTCTGACGGACATGGACTCCCGAACAAAGAATAGATTAATGTAGCCTAGATACTGGTCAATCACTCCTCCTGGCACAGCGGAGAGGGGTGTAATCTCTACCTTTGGAAGCCAGGTTGGTGTAGCAATGGTATCCTTGACAAATACGACAAAGATTGCACGTCAATATCAATATCATTTTATTTTAATTTTGAAGTCTATTTTCAGCCTAGTCTGTAACCATCACAGACAGCATGCATGATGTCATGACACAGACAGTCATGTCATTTGACAAACGGAACCTCAAGCTGAAAAGCTATCAGAAAAAGGCTTTTGGTTACAATACCACTCCTTGAAGTTAAGATGGGACTTCAGTTTGCTGTATTCCCTGACCGAAGTTAGATGTACTCAAGTAACACCAACATTCTTGCATGCTCTCAGGTCAATTTGTGTGTTTGTATATGGGACTATCCTGACAACTCAACACAGGCAATCAGGAAAGGTCAACATGATCCAATGTTGCAGACTGTTTGTGTCTGTGTTAATCACAGTTAAGCAATTCCATATGACTGCACATTATCAGGAACTGTTGGCAATGCTATCTGCCTCTCAACGTCGACATGACTCTGACGAAATAAAATGATCAATTACTTTGGCTCTTTTCCGGTGGGGACAGAATGTACCTGCTGCTATCACTAACGACATTCACTGTCTGCTTATAGCACCAGTACTAAACACTATGCAATACAAATAATTCTCAAAAAGTCTGACCCCACAAATATCATAATGGACACCACTTACGCTGATCCAGCTCTGGGTACTGCCTCCATATTTTCCTCATACTTTTTGCCCTTTATAGAGCTTCAAAGGTTTGGTTTGAATGCTACGTAAATACTGAGCATGGAGACATGCACCTTGACAAGAACAACAGTGAACTTACATCAGGACATCATGGGTTGATGAGACAGCCCAGTATAGTTATGCCTTAATATGCATATAGGTTGTGTACAATATGAACAAAAACTTCACCATTTCACCACAGGCAGTCCAGTTAAAGCCCTCCTTCTACTGAGTGAAACAAGAACTTACCTTCAGCACTATCCTCTTCTCAAGCTTGGGAACTTTGGACACTGCAAATACATCAAGAAAAAATGCTGGTAAGATTTTGGAATGAAATCAAGTGACTCAGTATTTCTTATTTATGTAGAGCTTTGGAACAATTCAAAGATTTTGGCTTATTTCCACAGTTGATAAAAAGACAGTTTGCCATATGGTGGTACATGAATACTGACTAGTTAGCATTGTAATGGTGAAAATAACTTCATGATGTTGCAGATTGAATGTTCCATTCCATGAAGTAAAGGCAAGTGGAAATGGAACATTCAATCTATCACTTTCTAATACCATATCTTATAATAAAACCCTCTCTGCGTGCAAAATCACTGTTATACTCTCTCCGTTGGGCTTAAACGCAACACCAATTTTCCCATTCCAAGCTACATGTATGACTGAAATTTGTGTTTGTGACAGGACCTATAACTACGTACATGATATATGATTCCTTATCTTTGTGAAGAACTGAGACGATACCTCAGGAAAATAAAACCAGTTACTTCAGAGACACGCCCTGTTACATCGACTTTAATTTCTAGTCCGTCAATGCTCATCTGCAGACGAGGACCGTAACCACTGATCTCTATACACTGACTGGACAGTTCATTGTGATCAATGGTTGGCACTTCTAGGCACCATTTCTGGAGGCGTGTAACTGGTCCACATGTGAGCGAAATAGAAGCGTGATCTCAGTCACAGTGGACTGTCATATCATGGCTGTTGCAGGAACTGTCATGTGGACTCAGTTTTTACATTTACAGCTAGGATATCACAAGTAAAACCTCTCTACACCTTGAACTGAGCATTATTTAGATGTCCATCAATGCTTCTCAAAAACTTGGATAAAATCATCATGCTAAAATAAAGCCACATCAAATATGGTGGCAGCCATTTTCAGAGCCGAAAAATATCATGTCATGGTAGCTTTGTCTGCTGATGCATGGCAAAGGATGAATGCTATCCTGTCAGCATATAGAAATCAGTGACTGTAATCTAGGAAAACGTCTCGTCCAAATTTCTGAAATGCAAACACCAGCCTTTTCCTGTTGGTGTTGAAGGAGATGCTGGCGCTCTCTCTGTGACTTGCAGTTCCTCCATGGCAAACAGGAGCTCTGCATCACTTGACTTGCTACCTGAAACCGACATGGTGAAATATGCGCAAAAAGGTTTGGAGAATGATGATCTCAAATTATATACAAACAGGCCAAGCGGTTTCCTCCAAGCCAACACTCGAGAGATTAAGGGATGCTCCCAATGGAATACCACTTTATGCTTTCAAAAATCATCAGATGGTCTTGGTTCTCGGTTACACTAACCTCCATACTTAAGTCCCAGCAAATTTCCACACTGAATTCTGAACATCTTCTCTTACAGAATAAAGCTCCTTCCCATGCCCCCCCCGTATTCACATCCAGCTTTTCCCCTGAGGAAACTCAGTGACTTTTCTCCCATACTGTCCAGTGAATGTCTACTTTTCATGACTTTTGAAATGAGATGGAAGTGTACTGGACGTAATGGAGTGATGAAAGCCATTAGAAAATGGCTTTCATCGCTCCAGTACATCCAGTACACTTCCATTTCTTTCTGTGACTGTTGGAAATCCATCCTTATCATTCTGGCATGCCATAAGCAATGGTGACTTTTCTGACCCCCCCCCACTAGCAGTTTGATATTCTCAAGGGTTTGATCAGCAATATCACGCAACACACTTCATGTCATTTGTCAATAGACCATACATGTACCTTTAGATTGTGGCACCTTTTCTGGACTGGATGTAACATTTTCTTGAAGGTCTACTGCAGATGCAGTTAACCACAGCTACAATAAAAACCAGGGAAGAAAATTGATGTGAAGTATAATAAACTGTGCACCATTCCGTAAGTTGGTACTTAGAGTGAGCAAGTAACCCACGCACTGCTTAAGCCTGGGCATCTAAGCCACACCGTGATCAGAGTCAGTATGGAAATTCAAAGTGAACATCATATGAAAGCAAAGCACCTGACGTTAAACCAGTTTGAACATGTTCACTGCAAGTGAGTCACTGTATGGCTGACTGATGGGGCCAACTTTACATAAATGTACATATTGCTGTTCTCAAATGATCTTCATTTTGGGCATGGTATACTGAACTCGCTCATTTCACAGAATGTGGACACAAATAGAGTTTCAGTATTCAGTACCTCAGACTCCAAATTTACATGCAGTAACTAGCATTGGAATTGTCATCCCAACCAACAATATTTTCAGTTTATTCCAAGCAAAAGAAAAAGAATATGTGTTACCTTTTTTTTTAGTTATTGACTATAGAAAGGGAAATGGGACTGGAAACATTTCTTTGCTTCATACGTTTCACATTTCTTTTCCCGACTTTACATATTGGAGTTTATTTCCCACACTATTATCAGTAAACATAAATGATACATTTTCCAGGAACACAACTGAGAAGGTCACATAAATGAGGTGATGTCAAACTGTACCAGACATTTTCCTGTGTTTTTTTTTAACCCGAACTCCCGAGGGTGTGTACCAAGTCATATTAAAATTGGAGGATTCAGGGCTGTTAGGGTTAATGCGTAATGAGGTGAAGGTAACTCTTTGATTTGCCATTATCTGCCTTTATATTTCACTCTTGATTCAGACCAACACTTATGATGCCACTCCTCAACTAGACCAACTTCATCTCTCAACAATTCACTTTAGATGTGACATTAGCAAAAGACTTGGAGACTGACTAGAATGGGGGCTGAGGTTTGGGAAGAGCAATATCATACATCTGACTGACCTGAACAACATCATCATCAGGAACATTGACATCATAGCACACGTTACACAAGCAGCAAGGAGCCATGGAACGAAGCTTAAAACACATACTCTGAAGTGAGAAATCAGACAACGCATCATAGAGTTTGCAGCAGATTTGTCGAAACACAAATAACATGACCGTAAATCTTGAGAGGCTGGTACAGACTCAAGGCCCAAACTGCTTGGGCTTGAAATGTGTTTAACTTTGCTAATTCCCAGCACAACTATTTGATGTCACGTCACAATTTCACAATTGTGTTCCCTTTGTACCAGGCCTGAAGTACATGTATACCATGATGAAATGTGGACTTTCTGTGCTAAATGCACAACTTTTATCTAACAAAACTGAACTGTACGTTTTTTTCAACTAATGTTTTACAATAATTTGTACATTAAAACAAAGCTGTTTGCTACAAGAAAAAACTGGTTTTTCTCTACGAAAACCCTGGATTCCCAGGCTACTCTCTGTGGAAACTCTGTGGAAACCTTGGGTTCCCAAGGCTGGTCTTCTTGGAACATGTACAAAACCTAGGCTACTGAGCTGCTCTCTCTGGAAAACCTGAATGACCAGGTCATTCCCTGTGGAAACCCTGCCATACCCAGGCTGTTCCCAATTAAAAACCTGGAATGCTCAGCTGCTTTCTCTGAAAATCATGAATTTCCAGGTTGCTCTCTTTGGAAATCCTGGATACAAAGGTGATTCCTTGTAAAAAGCCTGGCATACCCAGACTGCTCTTTTTTGAACCCTGGATACTCAGGTCAGGCTGCTTTCTCTGAGACCCTGGATACCCAGATCAAGCTGCTTTTTCCGAGACCCCTGGATACTCAGGTCAGGCTGCTTTCTCTGAGACCCTGGATACCCAGGTCAGGCTGCTTTCTCTGAGACCCTGGATACCCAGGTCAGGCTGCTTTCTCTGAGACCCTGGATACCCAGGTCAGACTGCTTTCTCTGAGACCCTGGATACCCATGTCAGGCTGCTTTCTCTGAGACCCTGGATACCCAGGTCAAGCTGCTTTCCCTGAGACCCTGGATACTCATGTCAGGCTGCTTTCTCTGAGACCCTGGATACCCAGGTCAAGCTGCTTTCTCTGATTCTTCTGGATACCCAGGCCAATCTCCTATGGAAAACCCTGTGGCATATCCAAGTTGTTCCTCTTGAAAGCTGAATATTTCAAACAGGACCAAGCGGTATTGCCATTCAGGTATGCAAGTTAGACCAGAAGGAAATCACAAGCTGCATTTTTCACACTGTAACGGCAGAAGTAGGAAGCAAAACCTTACAACAATAGTTAATCTGAGATGCATGGCTGCCTACTAATTGGGCAGACACAAAACATTTCATGTGGGTGTGTACAGTTTCTGCTTCTGCTCCACACTGCGCAAACCCCCTTGGAGGGTTAGAAACGCACAGATCATTTGATGATCAAATCACGGCATAGTCAGTTCTTACCTGAACAAGGTCATCAAAGATGGGAGCGAAGTGCTTGGTAGATGCTTCTAGTAGCGTCTGGGTTCTCATCATGGTGAACATCTGCATGTGCTTGCTTGGTCGGAAATTACCCGGGACAGTCTCCGTCGTGCAACTAAATAAGCCTTCACACAAGACAAGAGAGTCAAATTGAAACATTAAGCAGCCCAATCTTCTGACAACTATCAAACCTTCTCATGCTACACAAGTGTTTTGAATGGAAAAAAAAATTGGTGTTTATGTCTATGACTGGTGAATCCACTATCTACAGATGTGATGTGGTTGCAACCCCTAGACACCCTTACAAGACATTCAGTCTAAATTCAAACGACAGGTTATTCAAATAAACTGCAACAAAAGTACTCCTTTAACAATAACACAATATCAGAGCATTTGTAAGGCGCACACTCAACAGCATCTGTTATTTGAAGGTGCTGATATATTTTTGTGCACCCTACTGTTCATAAATGATCTCATGATGGTCTTAATTGCCACAAAAAACACATCAGTCACAATGACAATAAGTATTAATAATTGTTTTCTCCATTTTTTACATTTCTTTCTAACCTGTTGGCAGCTCTGGATCAAACAATCCCCACACAGTTTCCTTGTCTTCAACATCATCAACCTGCAACAGGAAAAAATTGATCTATCAGGGTAATCCTTTGTATGGTAGGCCTGCCAAAAGAAAATATAGAAATACAAAGTGTATTGTCATACCTCTGTGTTGGGTACTGTCCATTTATTGGCCCAGAACGATCACGACATGGCGATATATCCGCATATCACACTCACCGTGAGATATCCCTTTCTGCCGATAGTGCGCACACACGCGCGAGACATAACTACTACTACTTTAGTGAGTTTTGTGCAGTACCCATGATACGTTTTGTGCATAGGCTACCAGGGAATTTGATCAACGATCGCACTCATATAACAGACTCGATTCCGTCCCCGCAACATATAGGGTAATGTGGGGACCGCTAACCAGACTACGTGTACTCACTGGTACCCGCACTAGTTTCACATTAAAGTTTACACAATTAAAGGAAGTGAGGGAACAGTGCATTTGCAGACGATATCGTTTATGTCTGTTTATAAGTTAATTGTACTGTTTGACAGTAGGCCTATCGTCTTCTGACATTCAGAACTTGTTTCTTTAGATAAATTCCTTTAGACAGAGGTATGACAAAACAATTGTTAACCTCGTTGGTGTGGGGTATGATGTTTTGAACCCCTGAGAGACACACAGCATCCCGAGGCAAAGCTGAGAGCGCTATGCATGCCCAAGGGTGTTCAAAACGTCACATCCTACTGCTACAACAATTGTTAAATGACGTATTTTACGATGCATGAAGTACCAGTGAAGCATAAGTTCCATTATCTTCAAGCAAGCTTTTTTCCCAATTCGCCAAGTCTATCCAAGCAATATAATGGTACTATACATATACCGTACCCAACAGTCCATACTCAACACATATTGTGCTAAATTCCACGTCTTGTGCTACTCTGAGCTTACTGGACATATAAAACTGCACAGCATGTGCAGATTGTAAAGACAAAAGTTGAGTGTTTGCATCCAGTGTGGATCGTTACGTCTATTTAGACTTCCACCCAGTATGTTTCTCCAACACACTCCAACACCATGAGTTTAAGAATGGGGTCTCCTAGTGAGGTCGTCAATTTGTTTGATAAGAGTGTGCTCCGTAGTGTAAGATTGTAAGACATCATGAGTGGCTCTACGTGTAGAGTTACAATGCGTTATGTTGATCCCTGTCTGCCAGCCAGAAGTTGATTATAATGCCCATGTATATCATTTTGAGTGCAACATTACAGAAGTTTTCCCAGCACTTTTCAGTGATGGTTCCAACGTCTGAAACTTGCTCCTTGGTAGCTGGCCTTGCTGCAGTGGCTGTGTGTGTGATTACATAGCCTCAATATCTTGTTATTTGAGCCAACTTCCAGACACTAGGGTTTGGGGTATCTTTGCTTCCTGATCATCTGAATAAATAACCAATGAGGACATCAAGTCAAGTCTTAAAATGGCCGCCTTGGTTGCCTTTTTCATTGGGCCACCTATTCCCTCAACTGGCAGGCAGATCTCTATTGACTGAATGAAATCAACTGCTATATTTACTAAGCAAAACATTAAACATGGAAATTCTGTAAGATTGGGCCCTGGCCTTGAGCACTAGCACTGTCCACACCTTCGTTCCTCTGATACTACTTACAGTCAGGACATATGTGTCTTTCTGTGAGGCTTGGAACTGTGTTTCTGCGAGGTCATCTGTGTTATCCAGTGGCTGGGGACTGTCTAAGGCAGATGACTCCCAGATAGATTCCTAGTACACAAGACAAAACACCAACATCATTGGCCAATCCATTTAGCAGACCTAGCGCTTCACTGAACAATTCTAATAGGGTCTGCTTTTTCGATGTCACAGTAATTTTTTCTTACATGTGGATGCTAAAACTATGGCTGGCCGTCAGTACAAAATTAAAAAAACAATTCACAGCGTTCAAAATCCAACGCAGCTAACAGAACACCAGATAATAATGCACGTATTACTAAATGAAAGTACAACCCAATTTACAATTAATGGGACAAATGTCCATTTTGAATGAATTTAAGTGAAATTGAAAACAACCCAAAGGTGATATTTCTGCAAACTTTGGCCACCCATACAAGTTGTAGGCCAAATGAGAGTGGTCTGTAGTTGTGGACACTTGAAACATCAAGCACACAAGTGCAGTAGCTACAAGTAAACGTTAGAATGCATAGTTTCTTTAATGGGAACCATCTTCACTGCCAGTATTTTAGAAATTTGGCAAAAATGTAGTGGTTGGAGGCACTGGGAAAAGGTAGAATGATTTGACACTCTGGGAAAAGCTACCAGTGTTGTACGCGAGACCTTGATGACTGAGACCAAGACGGAGACCGAGACAAGGCATACGTGACCAAGACCGAGACCTTCTCCTTCAAGACCAAGACCTGGAATTTGAGACCGAGCCTTTAGCAGGTTGAGACCAAGACCACGACATCCGAGACCAAGACCGGCACTTTTGAGACCGAGACCAACCCTCCCAAGACAGAGACTTTGATAAGGCGAGACCGAGACTACATAAAACAGGTCTCGAGACGGTCTCAAGACCGAGACCAGGTCTCAAGACCAAGACCAGGTCTCAAGACCTATATGTACAACACTGAAAGCTATGTGAGAATGTGTGGCAATCTTACTGGTAGGTGTAGTTCATAGATATCTTTGTTCCTCGCCGTGATGTCCAAAAGTTTCTTCTGAATTGCCTGAACTTGCTTCTCGCCTCCACCAGACTGTATTTACACAATGAATTTTTCAAAGTAAAAAAAAACAGATTAGGGACTGTTCAAAGAATTTCATCATAATTTGGAGTGTGGTATTTGCAACTGAACTGTATTAGCGAAGTTAGGTTACAGAGTGTTTCAATTACAAATTGCACACCAAAAATTAGTTTCTGTCAATTTAGAACTGGACATCTAAGATGCTAGAATGCCGGTACATCAGTGGTGGGATGTGTGACAAAGTGGTTTGGATTTGTAAGCACCGATCATAGGATCAGAGGTTGAAATCTGGCAGTTGGGCAAGTCTTGTAACCTTTGGCATTCGCTTTCACCCATTTGCCCTTCTCCACCCAGGAGTATGAATAGTTGCCTGTGAGGGCAAAGATGGTTATGTGTTTAATAAGCTACTTGTGCCAGAAATGGCTGTATCGAGCTGTATCTTCCCCGAGTTGAAGTGCACCCTCACTGGTGAAAGAAAGACAGATGGTACTAAGTTTTCCAACCGGGTTCTTGCACACGTTCGGCATGCACAGAGAGACCACACATGAACTTGCGCACCTCTGCCGTGAGCGAGTATCAAGGGACGTGTCAATTTCGTTTCAAAACACACTCTCTTATGTTCCTGTTTGGAGTGGACTCTCCCCAGGGAGCTGAGGCAGTATTTGGAATGTTTCATGAGCCCAGTGAGCAGGGACGATACTGATGTACCAGTTGCCTTCAGCGCCAAGTAATTGTGGCTGTGTGCAGTTCATATTAAATATCCATTGATAAATTATTTAAACTGTGGTCTGTTTTCAATGTTAAACTGACAAACTGCACAAGTTTTGATTAAACTTCAAAGACTGAATTAGAAGTTCACCTGGCTTGTGACTCTCAGCTGCGATGGAGGAGGCAGGGCTGTTATATAAGATGCTGTCGCTGTCTGTTGACAAAATGAGAAGTTTCGTTCATACAAGCCCAAAATTACAAAACAGACAAATCAGTTAGCACAGACGAACATCAGTGTTTTTGTTCCAACACGTACATGTATGCCACAAGTGATACAGTGAGTCACAGTGTGTGACAAGAAAACCCTGCTCCAAAATTTGGTGATGGGACTGCTAAGCAGTAAAAATTGTAATAACAAAGCAAAGCATCTATGATCATGTACTCCGTAACAGGTGTGCACAACATCACCATGAAAATGCCTCCACACCATTTTTTAGTCTAGACTGGTCTGGTGACCAGAATTACATTCCATTTCTTTAGTTGTAGCACACACACACATAGGAAGTACATGTACCGTTGAATACCTTTGACCAATGCAATACTTTGGCTTGACAACGTATGTACTCACCTATAGGACATGCACGCGAATGTATAGTGTAATTCGACAACTAGAAATAGAAGCCATTGGCAGAATGGTGGACAGGTGATATATGAGCATTGCATGCCTCTTCAACCCATAGGGTGTCCAAATTGCCATATGAATGCACTGATCTAGCTTAGCAACGCATGTGGTGCTACCATAGTTTAATATGCATCTCCTCAGATTTAACAGTTCACATACATAGTGCCACAGCAGTCAATGAGGGCGTCTCGTTAGATCAGGCTTCAGCCCCATTAGATTCTCTACACACCTTGCTGAATGCAACAGAATGCAGCACAGTTGAATGAGATCCCTACTTCCAATCATCAAAAGGGGCCACTGAATTTGGTGGCACTGCACAGTGCACCGGATACGCATCAGCCTTGACCCTGTCTAGTGTTCTCTGCTGAATGTAATGATACCTTGCCTTTCACCTAAGTGCATCTGGGGTTACCTTTTCACCACAGGTGCATTATGTTGCACTTACCAAGCAAGGAGTCTCTGTTTAGGTAGTGCACTGCAACACTTGAGCAGATATTAACCAGAGTCGAGTTGCCGGTTTGCTTTCAACTCAAAACAATGTCAATAGACTGAGAGGTGATACTCACTGCTACACCTATAAGAAGAGTTTCTCCAACTATGATTTGCACACGTAAACCAAAAAGGGCATTCATTCCTTTCACCTTGACAGGGAAAACAAAGCATTGAACAAAATTAACCAATACACATGAATTTTTAACACAAATTAGGCCAATTTAATTCAAAGTGGATAAGGTATTTTCTTTGTTTTTCAATTTAGTGCATCTTATCATCAGATTTGTGAATTAAATGGTTTATTCAGAAAATCTACTACGGCGTCTGTCAAGACTACCTAACTGGACAGATCTTCTTTGTGTTCTCTCAATTCTGACTTGTGGAACTCTATTGCTTGATTATGTCAACAATGGCTCTTATTTTTACCTTCAGTTTATTCATGAGCTGCCTATGAATTTCATATTCCATAAACGGCAAAGCCTGCAGAGAAAAAAAAAGAACTTAAAATGAAACTTGAAAGGAAAAATTATTTGCTTCTCTTGAACAATAACTACAAAGTCATCCATAAGGGTGCAGGTTTCGAATCCAGCTGCAGGCCAGATGCTGTGTCCATAGGCAAGACGTGTTGCCTCTCCACACCCACAGGTATCAAAGGATTCCAGCATTCACTGCGATGTCTCCTGCAATGAAGCTGTTACTAAAAGGAAATGATAAGAGACAGCTCCAAACAATGATGTTCTCTTGAAAATTGAGCTGAAGATAATTTTCTTTCAATCTTCTTAGATGTTTGTTTGTCAAATACTAACATCACTGATCATGGCAGCGTTGCTCTCTCCAGTGGCTTTTTTCTTGCTGCGGCAGACGCTAGCCTGTAAGCAGCATCCAAGCCCTGTGTAGGACAGCTCATGAGGGGGCTCCACAGTGCAAAATAACACGTCTGGGACCTTGGATCTCCTGCAGGAGTACAGAAGGTGCAAAAGCTTAGGAATCTACCACACTTGACTCAGCACTGAATAGATAACCCTTCAACACACTTGTCACAGCAGGCATGGTGCCCACACACATATACTGTATGTGTTCGTATGCAAATTTCCTACTTTATACACAAAAAGGCACCAGTGCAAGTGCAAGTTTAGTTCGACCAACGTCAATCGAGAAGGGTTAGCTTATGTCGTGAACTATTTTGGAACCAGTCTTTCTGTGAGTATGTTCCAATATCTTTTCCTTTAGAGATGCTTCGTTCTCATCCCTGCCAAGCCCAGACTACGGTGAAACACCACAGTCACCCCGTGCCTTCATAATGCTCTGCTAGTCAGTGCTACTGTATGGTCTTTTTATTTCTTTTATGTACAGTACCATGTGTAATTTCCTCCGAGTAATAACCTAACCAGCCCTCCCCTGGATCTCTTATCATCTTGTCTGAAGGCGAAGAAATGCCTATTAAATTTGTTATTTCAGTTGTTAAAAAGTACATGGATTTCTGGTTTTTCATTGTTGTTTGGTTTTCCGCCATTAAACTAAATGTAAAATACCTAGTCCCTCTCACTGGCAATTGGCCCCTTGTGGGTTACCGTCACAGTTTTTGGTTGCAACGGTATCACTGGTTGTCAAAAGCCTTTTCCATAATAGAGTACAAAGTGAACCACTGACATGAGCACATTTTCACAAAACAGCAGAGACTGTGAATGCAGGGACAGCAGAAACCAACAGCAAAATATGTTGCAGGACGGGGTTTCACCAAATGTTCCACTAGCTTACTGAGCTGTTTGAATAGGATGGTATTCTATGAATACATTGATAAGAAGCAAATGCCCCTGGTCAAACTAAAGTTGTTGCTGAAACCTGTTGCAAGGGGATATTAATACTAGGTAACAGAGCGCCCTCTTTTGTCCAAACAAGAGTCAAGGCTCAACCTCTTGCCGTTGGGCGAGTTGGCAGAAGAATTTCTCTTACCAGCTGGGTATTACATGTACTGCTCCAACCCTGTCCAGTGCTACAAGGTAAAACAGGTGCATAATCTATAGAACTTTGCATGACTGGGCAGTCAATAGAAGTGACATATAAACTACCTCAATTCTGAGATGAGAGCAAGTCATCCTGAACATCGTCACTGTTGGTTCTATGGGTGGCCTGCATGCTGGGAATCATTCATTGTTTGGTACTGGGATCATTGACATTTATTTTTTCACTCTGAAAACTATGGTTTATTGTTGTATTAACCAGAGATTCTGGACAAAATATTGCAATCCATATTACCCTTCCTTTTTATCTTGGTGACATCACTCATAGATGTGCTAATATGGGAGTAAAAAAGGTGAAATCCACTTGCAAGTTTTGTATCAAAGATACATTATTAAAATGGAAAAAAAGGCAAACTGAATGGCTTTTTTCTCAAAGTTTCCTGACAGTAAAACACGGCACTGCTTAGATGTACATGAATTGTAATGGCTACGCACCGCCTGACAAATTTAAAGCTCACTGCCCATTTCTGTTCATGTAAGTCATGTGAGATATACCTGCAGATGGCACACTTGCTGATTGAGACTGGGAATGGTAGAGATGACTCATTGTACGGAATGTGACAGATGGCACACTTGGGGCAAGACTCGGTGGCAGCGGTGGGATTCTCTGACATAATGCTAAAAGTGACCAAAAAAAATAACAACAACAAAATGTCCATTATTGAAAGCCATTTTTAGTTGAAAACAAGTTTCTGACTGAAAATGGGGTTATTAGAATACTAGCTCTCTCAGCATTTACTCCCAAACAAAAATTATTTAAACAAATACAGTTAACCTGAAAAATACAGTCCCTTGACCTTCAAATCTGTCCTATCTTTAACCAACCCAACAGCCAAATTGGAGAGTCATGGTTGAGCTCATCCATTTAAGCAAGAGATTCATCCACTGAAAGAAAGGTAAATGTCTGATGATCCCACTAGACTAAGGCATTATGCAGCTACCTTCCCACCTCAACAATTTATCAAGTGGAGCAACAATTCTAATAACAATAATATCACAGCATGAGGCACACAGTCTCTACGTACCAAGTGGAGAGAGATATGTAGGGATAAAGTGACTTGTCCAAGGTCGTAACATGTAAACAGCTGCTGGATTCCATCCCCCAACCAGAGCTGCCAACCCTTGCCACTAGGCCACATATTGTAAACCCTGAGCAAATCTTGCTTAGATGATTTACCAATGTGCTCACTGTGAACATTCAGACAACATAAACCAATAAAAGAGGCTGGATATTTGACAGAAGCCATCGCCTGACCTCTCTGCTAGCGGCGGCGATTTCTCTTGGCTGTTCTGTTGCAGGTGCTGTTGGAAGTCTGGGCGATCGAGGGACGTGGTCAGCAGCACGGACTGCGGCTGGGCTAGCAGGGGAACCCCTGCATGTTGGAACGCTGCTAGGTTGACGATGGCGGCTGTCCCGGTGGCTGAAAGTAGGCAAATCTCATCGCTGGGAAAACAAAGCATGACTTCAATGCTTAAAAGTATTCATGATTAAAATAGAACATTGCTTGGTAATATAACCCCCTCCAACTCGCAGACAGAGCTCACAAACTCATCACATAATACAGATTTTTTATTTTAACTCCAAAGGCATCTAACAGAACCACCGTGAGGACCGATTGCAAAATGCTATTCAAATCTGTTAATAAGTTCATGCTTGGGGACACGTAAAGCCACAATGATTTACTCTGACTGAACACGTAGGATCTGTATGCATGCCAAGGCAATTTCTGTGTTGCTCTAGGTGACATTTTAACTTGTCCCAACTCTTCAATGATTCCCATTTCTTTTGTACAGTCACAGATGCATTAACTACCAATAGCCCATGGAGGTTGCACATGTACAGAGCCCTCAAGTGTCCATGTCGTACAGTAACAAAGACATGAACTACAAAATAATCCATGGGAGTTAAGCATGTATGGAGTCGTCAAGCATCCAAGTGCCACGGCCACGCATAATAGGAAATACAGTTCACAACTTTGTCTTGGAACGTACAAAAAATAATGATACAGTAAGAGATATCAGTATTAATTCCAGCACCATGCCTGTGGTGTATGAACATTTTCAGATTTAGGCCAAAACTGTTTCTGCGCCTGGGACAAGCTTGCCATGAAACACCCGTAATGTCGGTATGGACTGGTAAAGCTCATGATAACACAGCAGCCCAAAGAAGTCAGTTCATGTGAAGAAACAGATCACAGTAGCTGCAACTCACCAAATACTGGTTGTTTCTTTGTAGCCAACAACAGCATGGCACCCCATGGTAGCAGCATGGGATCTGATCTCTGTACGTATCTCTGTCCACCATGCATCTCTCGTCTCTGGCTCGTCTGAAACAACAAGTGCAGATTTATCACATACGGTGGAAAGTACTTGACGTTGGAATACGAGATAAGAGTCTAGGAAGTATTGCATCATTTATTGAACAAAACCAAGCAATAACGAAAAAATGCAGACAACTGGAACACAATCTGTATTACAATGAGTTAGGGAATGTGAGCCAGTAGATAAAGTCTGTTAACTCCTGACCATGTCCTAAATGGTTCAGATCCATCAGCTGAGCATACATGCTAACTGTATGACCTTAACAAAGTTAAGTTCCCCTATTAAATCAATTTAAATTTTAAATTAGGGTACCTATGTAGGTAGAGCCACATGTGCAATATTATAAATTAGTCTCGTGGCCTAACGCACTTGGTCATTAATATTGAAACAGCAATTCACTACGAGACTATTGGTGTTATAAAAAGTGCTATTCAAACATTAATGGATAATGATGCCAATTAATAAAACACTTAAAAAAACACCCCCTAAACCAAGAGTCTAATACAGACATGAGTAACAGAAAGAGGTATAAACTTTTCCCCTACAAGTACAAGGAGAACTATATTTTGGAGGACAGCAATCCAGGCTGGGGATGGAAGTGCACTCACGCCTCCTTTCTTTAAAAAGGAACACTGGAGACATTTATGATCGTACAAACTATTCTTCAGTATAACCATCAAACGGTAAGTTTGTGAAACAGCTGGTGCAATGCTTGGGCCAGGCAATGGGGGGGCTCACGAGTGCACAGTGATCTCATGTTAGGACTGGCTTAAGTTAAGTGAAAGAATTACAGTTCAGTGCAGAAACGGTTCCAATTGTTGAATGTCCAGTTCCCTTGTTCTTATTGGAGCAATGGAGAAAAGTACCTGGGTTGTGGATTCTGTCCAGCAGTTTGACTGACCGTGCAGTAACCACTCCCCCAAGATGAACAAGGAATCCTGGGGGGAACTTTTTGATTGTGAAAAATGGGTACTCCTTGAAAAAAACAAGAAAAGAAAAAAAGCATTAATGTTATCCTTCATGCAAATTCAAAATCATGAGCAGAACAACGAAACTGCAAACATGGCTATGCTGCCTGCTTCAATCTAGCACGTTACATTTGAGAATTTACAAGTTCTCTCTGGTATTTAAAAATATCCAAAAGGGTCAAAGGAGCTGTGGGTTTGATACCAAAGTTAACCCTTTATCTTTTGTGTCCTCTAAATCCCTTCAATATCCACTTAGCACAACTACCCCTAGCCCAGGTTGGGCGTTGTCTGCATCGCATTGCGACGAACATTCAGGGTATGAAAGTCCTCCTACAGTGCGGAATTTTTTTTTACATTTTTTCTCACATTTTTACCTGGCAAAGAAAGCTCAAATGTCATTCTCAAGTGCTTTGTACTCCAAATTCCATAAATGCTGTTTTGAAATTACTAAATACGCCCACGGAAAATCCATTTGGCAGAAAATCTAGTGCAACTCCACGCTTTCTATCGTGAATAATCTACGTTCGTCTAGTGCAAGTACTTGCACTTGCCCAAAATGCATAGTAACCAACCTCTCCTTACGCATGCCGGAAGAGCTGTGGGCGTGAAGAAGTCGCAGATAGGTCCAAAACGGGCTTCCAACACTATGGCTAGGTCTATTGTCTGCGCGTCTCCACACATTTCAAGTGGAGCAAGACCTAGACCTAGCTCTAGACAACACAACCGACAGAATGTGGGCCGTGCTTGGAGACCATTTCATGTATACGCTAATGTGTACTATTAGACGAACGTAGATCGTTCACAAATTGCAATGGAAAGTATGGAGCTTTGCAAAATTTCCTGCAAAATACGTTGTCCACGGGCGTATTTAGTAATTTCAATACAGCATTTATGGAATTTGGGATACAAGGCACTTGTGAACAACATTTGAGCTGTCTTCGCCAGGTAAAAATGTGAGAAAAAAAGGTTACAAAAATTTCGCACCGTTGCAAGCCTTTCATACCCTGGATGTCAGTCATAGTATAAATGAAGACAACGTCCAACCTGTGCTAAACTGCCCCATGCTTTGTTATAGAAACGCTACGACAGTGGAGGTCAGCAACACAGTCCAAGGAATGCCAAGCCAATGCTTTAAAACACAACCAATTCATTCCAATTAGAGTCTTTACAGACATAGCAATGGCATCCTCTAGAGCCCTTTGTGTGGAGGTACATGTAAGGTACTCAGAGTAATGTATAAAGAAAGGTACCCGAGGAGGCTTGCTTCATGCTAGAAATGACTTTGTGTACACATACACACATTACAATGCTTTTCTTGCTCGATGTATGAAGACATTTTCATCTTAGACTTACCAGAATATCAATAGTTATTGGCGGTAGAGTTGGCTTGGGTAGGAGTGACATCCTCTGGGATAGTCCACCACTTCCTCCACTGCCTGCCTTCTCTTGGCTACCGACAGACCCCACTATAAGGCAGACAAACACACCGATCAAACGCAATAATTGGAGAAATTCTCAGCAGAAAATGTGCAGGTCCGTGCATGACCAGTGCAAATTTGCAGAGAGCAGCACCTCTTCTCCAAGCATGGATAACGTGGCTATGCCAACCTTTAAACGTGGACCCATGAACAAAGAAGGTCCTCATACTGTAAGTTGTGTGGCCCAAGTGAAATCTACACCTTGCAAGAGTACAACACGCAGGTAAGCGAGAGCATGCACTTGATCAAACCATGAGTATACTTTGTATTATGTGGTCATTTCAAGATGGCAGAAAGGTGACTATTGATGCACATACAACACTATCGTTCACCTGCAAATAATAAGATTAACACAAACAAAAGCAGCCCATGTTCAGGCTGTCATGCATATATCATTTAACGCTTGGTCAACTAGTAAAATCCCATTTAAAAAAATAAAAACACAGCACATGGGGAAAAAATAACCCTGCTAATGAATACAGTTGCAATACCATGACACAGAATTTCATGGCTACAAAAGTATTATTTGACTTGAATTCTCAGAGCTTACCAATGTGGGCTGAGGACAGGTCTGAGTCAGATGAATGCCGACATGGAGTCACCTTGGATGGTGACCTTGGGGTTGGTTGGGAAATCTGCTGGGTGTATAGTGGGGAACCAATCATGCTTCCATCTGGCGCATCTTCAATGGCAGAAAAGCTGTAGGATGGAGATGACGTCATCTTCACAAACGTTCACAATTTTCACTGTTCTCTTAGAATACTAACAAAGCTGCCCAACTTCCTCAGGTTTAGAAAAGAGTATGCACAGGTCAAAAGGAAAAGGGTTCAGTTTGCTTGACAAGAAAGGATTTTATCAACTCAGTCAAATTCCTAATGGGTCATTAGTTTGCTCAGCAGCAGCAATACAGATTTTGTGAGCGGAGTGGAAGTAAAACACACTAGTTATGGTTTCTCACACACTGAAGGACTACAATTTCCATTTCCCCAATCTGCAAAATATCTTTAAAATTACCAGCAATAACAACGTGAGTCTGAATGGAAGTGGAAGCATACTTTCCAATTATCACGGACCAATAATATTTTTAGAGTAGTTGGTGCAATGTTTCTGCCATTACTGAGGGCTGAGTGTATCATGACATCGCGATTGGATTGATCTGCATGTTACGATAGCTTATGACTGTCACTCTGATCTACACCTTAACATCATCATCCCAACTTCACCGTGGACCAGCAAAGTAAGCCAGTTTGGTATGTCAACAGTAAATGTTGACGATAAAACACACTGTAGTAGGTCTTTGAGGAAGTCAATATGTACGTGCGAGGTCGACCCTCTCAGCACAGCTATAATTGACTCACACACACACTGAACACATTCAAACAGTCATGGCTCAGTCACGGCATGGTTCTTCAATGACCTTGCCTTATTGAAATACCAAATTGGCTCATTGGCAGAGTGTCATCGGCATCGTGGAAGTCAGAAGTACGAAATCTTCTCAAGTAAAGTTTTCTTTGAACTGAGGAAAGCTGCAGGGACTTACTCCTTTGGATTGAGCTGATCCTGTGGTGGGCTGGTAGACAGAGGTGAGGTCATTGGATTGGTTTTATGTATCAGTGCTGCTGTGCCGATGCCTCGGACCACAATGCCAGATTCTCCTTCCAGATCAAAGCATTGCCAGTAACTAAAGCCAAGAAAGATCAATTGGATGTAACATAGAAATAAAACAGCTTTGTGAAATACTGACAATGGTTTAAAGTGTGATTCCCTGAGTTCATCATTTTTTGCTGACCCCAAACCAGTCTCTGGCCACACTCATACATCCAACCCAGCTACATCCAATGCAGTTCAAACAAGAACTTAACAGAGAGCAGAAAAAACACACACAGATACATTCTGTGTAGCACTGTCCACTGTAATACATCTACATCACAAGTGTGACTATGGGGAACCTTGCTGTATGTGCTGACTGCAAAATCCAGCAGTACGAGGCGCTTTCAATATGCACGTTTTTGGGTGCCTTGCGTACACGATGCATTCATGCGTTTCACTTTCACGGACACAAAAAATGACTCCATTAACATAACACACATGTGCTTTGCGTTTGGCCCTCAAAACTGCCCCAGGAACAATTTTGACGGATATAGTAGGATACAGTTAAAACAAGAATTTGTGAATGATGTTAATTAGAAGTCAAATCATGCGAAACAGCAAACATCAAAGGAAGGCTTTGGTCAGAGTTCATAGCGTGGGACACAGCTTGACACTTGCCCTGACATAGACATGTGACTGACTTGAGATTTCCATGTGGTGACTCATCAATTACACGTACAACTTTGTACTATACGGACACCCATTTTCTTTAACAGTAAGTAATTTCAAAAAGCCTAAACATGAAAAAAGTGTTTGCAAAGTTGCAAATGGTACAAGATTACCGGACTTTGAAGAAGCTGTCTCCTTCTGAACCAAGCAGTGTAGCACATACATGTCCAACACCAAAGCTAACCCCAGGATGATGAACGCCATACTTACCCCAAGACAGCATTGCCTTCTCTCTCAAGCACCTTCAGTCCAATCTTCCGCTGTAGCTCACCAGACAGCTTAGTGAACAACTGCTGTCTAGCCTCATTGGAAGCCCTCGGTGTTCGGATCATATCAATCCACTGCAATCAAATCATTCTTTATAATGAGAGCTCAACCATCATATAGTCTTCATTTGGCCAGAGCACTACAGCTTGCTTTTCCCTCCACCAATTACTCATGAGGAGACCGGTCTTTCGCCACTTTCAAACTCTGGAAAGTTTTGCCCCTTATAATTTGTCGATCCTCATCAATGTTTGCATTTGAATCACCTTTGAAAAGCCTCACATTTTGGTGTTGGGGGTGAAATTGACCAATGATACAAATAGCTGAAAACAGCTGAAAAAAGGCACGAAGAAGCTGAACTGTGAAAATCTCCAATACTTTTGCACACAACCAGTGAGGAAAAAAAGCTGAAATCCAAAAGAAAAAAGCTGAAATCAGCTAAAAAGCGGAGAAATCTCACCCCTGTAGTGTTGAAGGAGTTGGTATTCATTTTTAATCACTGGTTTTGTTAATCAAATTGAATTTCACATAAAAACTTTAAGCTCATTTTGTAATGTGGGCCATGAGCATCTTGCTAGGCAGATACTGTTGACTATAAATGCTCATAATGATTATTAAAGTGATTATTAATTCCTGGGGTAAATTTGAGAGCTGCAGGCAAGATTGTTAATCAGCTGGTCAACAGTGTTGAGTAAAGTGCATTGCCATATTTGCTGGGAAATGGTGGGTAGGTCTACACTACCTTGAGGTGGACAATTTCTTTCAACTCAAGACAGTGTTTTTGTTCCCATTGTATCGTTTTTGGTCCCCACAGAATCTCTGTTCTTGCAACACGTTTAGTTCCCACAGAACAAGTATATGCATGATATGCAATGAAAAACATGGGCAGGTTTGTCCCTAAGTTCAATACGGGATCTTTGAATGAGAAACCAGATTAGCTGAGTTTTTGTTTTAAACAGTTGATGCCAGAGGACATGTCACTCTGAAGGATTTTTAGTGACAATATCACGGAAGATGTGGAAACGTGTCCTGGTAATGTACTGCACAGCAGAGGGTGATGGGTTAAACTGTCATAACTACCCAACTTGCAAAGCTTTGAAAGACTGGTCAAGTTACAGCAGAAATCCCCCCCCCCCGGTAAAAAAACATAGCCCTTAAATAAAAATCTTAGCCAAAAGGCAAGTGATTTCCAGCAAATTTGGCTCATCAGGCTGGTGCTTATCTGCGGTTTCCTCGGCATGAATAGTTAGTATCTATTCCTCCACTGGATGGGATGCCAGTCTACTGTCACAGGCTGCTCCCCATATAATGCCATTATATCTACTTATACTCATGGGTGAAGGGATAGTGGCATGTAGGGGTGGAGTGGCTTGCCTGCTAGGCCACTACCGGTGGCTAGCACCTCAATTCAAACCCCGAACCCGCTGGTCACCAGCACCAATACTTACGAACCTTAGCCACAAGTTAACTCTTGGGTTTTATTACCTTCTCAAGTAGCTGGTCAAATGTTACCTACAGCTCTAACAAGGCACAACATTTAGGAGCCGGTATTTGACTGACGATGTTAGATTAAGCCTCTTACCTGATACTCAGGGTCATCATTGACAACCAGTTCCTCTACAAAGCCATGAACAGCACTCACAGTGTAACATGTAGGGATTCCGCTTGCTAAAAGTAAGACATACACAAAATAGCCCAGTTAGTGGAATACAGGTTTGACAGTCCAATCTCCACAGTGTCAAAGTTGAACCTCTTACTGTTGGCTCATTCAAAACCTTCCATTCTTTCGATGCCCTGAAACTGTCATGCAAATGACACCATCATCAAACTGGAAGAAGTTTAAAACTTTACCCAGTTCCCAGCAGGATAATTTTCAGCTTAAACTTTTTTTTGACAAATACCTCAAATGGCGATCAGGGATTGTTATGTACGGCATCTATTTGTACATTAATTTGGAAAGAAATAAAATGGGAGGGAAATATTTCGTCAATCACTATCGATACACTGAGATGGAGTAAATTATATCAAAGAGCACTATTGCAGATGAATATCTTGTACAATTTATTAGGCCTATCAGCCCCGAGCTGGACCAAGAGAAGGTGCTATATTCCTAGCAATAGAGGCTCTTTGGGTGGGAACTACACTTCCATAGTTCACGAATGACTATGAAATAAATGCACACATTACGGTAGCATTGCTATATGTACGCAAAAATTAACATTCCCCACCAACATGTTTCTTTTCAACCAATGAGGGGGTGCGTCAGCTCAGGGTGGATATAATCAACAAAAGGTCCAGCCCAAGACATTCTCACAACGTCAAAATCAGGCCCACATTTTGGCCACACAACTTCAATTCTTCAAAATCTTCTACTCATGCAAGGAGGATTTTGAAGGATTTGGCAAAGTAAGGGTGGACGCTTACAACTGAAGAACTGGACTCCACAGGAAGACTCCTTAAATTTGCTGACGTTTTCTAAGAGATCCACCTTGACTACCACACTGATCTCCCCTCTCATGCCGTGCATGGTGTCATAAATAGGTAGCCAGCCTGATATCTCGGATGGTCCATCTTTCAAAAGTAGGGGGTTTAAATCTATGTACACCTGATGAAAGGGATGAAAAAAAATTTACTCTTACACCAGCATCTGTGACCTCAAGACATCTCCTACACTGCATCTTCAAACGGTTACTTCTGACGCAGTCAGAGATTTACAATAAACTGAGACTAGAGGTTTTAATGTTGCAATTAAAACTGGGAGCAAATGAATATTCTATTAACACTGATCACTAGAATCAGCTACCGTATATTGGTATTATTGATCCAACTATATACAAAATCACTTGCAATATCGCACACAATTGTACACTATAATCAGGACAATAGCATCTCGCGTCTATGAGTATCTCCGGCCACAATTTAGCAAGATTTAAGAAATGAACAATACTTCTTGCCCTGTTTCTATTCCTTTTAAATTTTCTAATCAATAATTAACTTTTTGAGTTGTAGGATTTCTGTCGCTTTCATTTGAATCTGCTTGAAACAGGCCTCCATGGTGAAATTATTCTCATTTCAAACAAAACAAAATTTTCTCTTTTCATGAATTTTGCATTTGAATGTTCAAATTCAGAAATCAATATTCAAACATTCGATGATGTATCGAATATTTGGACGTTCAGCACAACCCTACCATACATACCATTAGTAAAATTCTTTTGGTCAATTATCAAACTGTGAAGGTTACGCTAATGTTTTTTCTTCAAGATTTAAGACATCTGTGAAAACCAAAGATCACGGGCTAAATTATGTAATATTAGCATTGTTTTGGAAAATGGTGATAGCTTACCTTACCAATGGCATCATGGGCACTGTACGTGTCATAGTCCATAATTCTACAATATCAAACAAAACTTGGCTAAATATGTTTTTCCCATCAAGAAAATAACAACATGGCACGGAAGATGAGTTTAGCTCCAACCCTTATCTTCTGCTTTGAAATTTCAACTTGGAAGCAGTTGGAAGGTATTACGACATCGTAACACGTGCATAAAACTTGAAAGTTTCAGAAAATGTAAGTTGCTCCTGTTTTCCGACATAGTAAAGGGATACTGGAAGGCTACTAGAAAGAATAACTGGGCACTTGACTTTGGATAAATCAATTTCACTGGATATTTTTTGGGGGAAGGGGGTTGGATGGGAGAGTTATGGCTACATCAATGATAAGTTAAAGGAGCTTCAAGATGGAAAGAACCTCAATTATAGACAAAACTTCAAAGAAATGATTCAAGAAGGCATAACACAATTGCTTTTTTCATACCTCTGTCTTGGATACTGTCCGTTTATTGGCCCAGAACGATCACACGACTGGGCGACATATCCACATGTCACACTCATCATGAGACATTTCATTCAACTGATGGTGCATGCACACACACACGTACGCGCACGAAACAGAAGAGAACGAATATTTGCAGTCGTTCGGTCAGTTTTGCGTGGCACCCATGATACATTTTGTGCATAGGCTACCAGGGAATTCAATCGGTGATTGCACTCTTATAACAGACTCATTTCCGTCCCCACAGCGTATAAGTTAATGCAGAGACCGTTAACCAGACTATATAAATGTACTCACTGGTACCGTACTAGTTTCATGTTAGAGTTTACGCGATTAATGAAAGTGAGGGGACAGTGCATTTGCAAGCGTTATCGTTTACGTCTGTTAAGTTTACTGTACAGTTTTACAGTAGGCTTATCATCTTCTGAAATATACAGCTTGTTTCTTTTGATAAATTCCTGAAGACAGAGATATGACAAAATGCACACTGCCCTCGGCTTTGCCTCAGGAGGGCGCTATGCATCCCTCAGGTGTTCAAGATGTCACATCCCACACCACAGCAATTAACAAATGTTAATTGCTGCACAATGGAAGTATCTAAACCTTCATATACTGGTACCGGTGTGTCACATCTTGTGTAAAGATTAGAATCTCGTTGATGTTCATACCTCAGCTGCAGTGGTTCATCCTGAAGCTCTTCATCATCAACCTTTAAATGAACAAACAGCATTGGCCAAATTGTTAACAACCTATCTAGAGGTGTGGAATTTCACTTAGGCAAGGGAGGCATACCTGGAGACACCTTCATGAAGTCTTTTCAAACATTATTTGAAGGATGCGAATGATGAAAGTTTAAGACAAATGAAGATACAGCATCAATGGCAAATGAACAATATCTGTGCATGTAAAAGTACCTAACGCCTATGAATTCGATTTCCTAGTTTAGGGTCAATGAATCGTACTTTTGAGAATTTGAAGTTTGAAAATTTGGGACTGTCGACACTCGGAATCGAACATTTTGAATATTTACTTCATAAAAACGGGAATTTGTTCTTGATATTTTTGTATTCTCACCTCAAATTTGAACCACTCTGATTGCCACTGTGGATTAAGAGACTTCCGACAGACTTCTGTCTTGTGGGTTACTTGCCCAAGTTTGACCTGAAAACAACATTGACAGTGAAAACAATTCTGCTCAGAGCAAATCCTCTACAGAGCAAGGAATCAGAAACAGCTGCTGATCTTGAAAATGCATCTTATCCTAATCCATCTTATCCTTTCTGCATTTTTGTCAAATTAGCATGTCAGAAGGGTAGATGACGTTCCCAAGGCAGGACAGCCTCAGGGTCAAAGGCTGCAAGCCACAACAGCGAATCCGACAGTGGCACTAAATGGGACCAGCTCCAAGTGTCTCAACAGTGGAACGCTGCTATACCGAACACGGCTATACTGAACGCCGCTATACCGAACGCCGCTATACCGAACACCGCTATACTGAACGTTCGGCTGTACCGAACATCGTCCTTGGCTCCCAATATTTTGTCCACAGAACCTACCGAACACTATTCAGTTCCTTTGCAATTCCCAAATGTAAACATGATAAAACAATCGGTGTTTTCAATGTTGGAAAGTGACAAGTGGCCATTATTTCTCCAAGGATTAGAAGGGAAAGCCACATGATCGGGTGCGGAAGAAAACCGCAGGTACACACACGGTGGCATTGCACTAACAATAGTCTAAAGAGGGCGCCGCTGATACACAAATCAACCGAGATTCGCCACAGCATGCATCAGAGATCAATCCTGAGCGGTAATTTCCATGACTTTTAGGACAAACTTGATATCAACTTTTTGACTCAAGTCTAAATAAAAAACAAAAAGAATTCACAGATACATTTCTAGAAAAACTTGAATACAACGGCAAAACATCACAAAAACAGCGAATCAAGGTATCACAAGAGGGTGTACTTCAGTTAGACAAGAGAGGGCGCTTTTCATCATAGCAACGAAACGTTCAGCAGTTAAATTCACTATACCGAACCACCGCTGTACCGAACATTTAGCATTCCACTGTAGTTTATTTTGGTCAATGTAACAAAGTGCACCAGGCTTTTACAGCGGATGCAACAAAGCACTATGGCTCAAAGCACTATGGCTCAAAGCACTATGGCTCAAAGCACTATGGCTCAAAGCACTATGGCTCAAAGCACTATGGCTCAAAGCACTATGGCTCAAAGCACTATGGCTCAAAGCACTACGGCTCAAAGCACTATGGCTCAAAGCACTACGGCTCAAAGCACTATGGCTCAAAGCACTACGGCTCAAAGCACTACGGCTCAAAGCACTATGGCTCAAAGCACTATGGCTCAAAGCACTATCTTGCAAAATAAAAGATTCCAAGTATTCATTCCAATACAAGCACATGTACGTGCATTATATATGACAACTTGACCTCACACATCTTGAGCACTGATATGACCACGTGGCTGAACAGTTAGCCAAGTTGGTTCCATCAGGATATTTCAGAGGGATAACTTGTATCAGAAGCCTATTGGTAAATCAGTAGCATATCCAGTGAGGGAGGGGGTAGGGGACCGACAATTCCTTCTCCCTTCGCCCCCCTCCCCCGGAGTAATTTTGTTCTTTTGAAAGTGTCAACATTTAGGGGGTGGATGATTACTTTTATGAATGAAAAAAATTGTACAATTGTTTTTAGAACATAATTTCATCTTGCACCCCCCCCGACCAAAGACCTGGATATATGCCACTGAGTTACATGTTTATGTTACGCCCCAACTACAGCATAAGTCCCAACTATAGTTGGGACAGTCCCAACTGTAGTGCTGCAGTTGGGCTGGCCCAACTATTGGTGACCAATGTCTGTGGGAAATATCTCAACATTATCCAAGTCAATGTGTCTCACACTTGACACAATTCATCAAAAATGTGGCACTTCATCTCTTCATCTAGCCCTATGACCAATGACATGACATTTGTAAACAATATGACTTTGGCACATGCTGGGCACATCATGCACACAGGACCTTTCTGCTGTAGTTGGGCCGGCCCAACTGTAGCACTCCAGTTGGGATGGGCCCAACTATACATGTAGTTGGGACTGATGCTATACTTGAGGCGTAACATACATGTATATAATACATGTATGCAGAGCCATGTTGTATCTGTGATCAAGATTACTGCATCTCCAGTCGAGTCTGCAGTGCCATGGAGTTTGAAACACACCCTCCATTCTCCAATGCTGAAGACATTCCATACATCATAAACTTGTTACTCTTCTTTCTACCACAAATGGTTACCTCCCTGCCTACATACCTCAACAAATGCATCAGCAAGGTCACTGGCCCTATCCATCACTGGAAGGTCCCTTGCAGCAATAATCTGTACCTTCAGTTTGCCTGGCATAGTGGTCTACCATTCACAGCTACATCCAATGCACGCTGAAATAAACAACACAGGGAATGTGCAAGCTCAACCATCAAGACATGTGCGGTCTCAATTCGCAAAATGTAAATTTGATTTATAGATCCAAGCCAAGTAGGCCTAAGTCCTGACCCCAGCAAACTCAACTCACCTCACCTTGAATTTTAAGTCAAATTGTCTTCACTTAATGCAAATTTGTGTTCAGTAACATAGTAACATTCTTAGGCACTAAGTATAATAATGCTGATTATCGTAACACGAAAATTCTCGGCACTGCATCCGCTGCTTCTTAGGGGTGTGCGCCCTCTGGTGGCAGGAGCAAAGATCGTATAGCGCCGCTTAGCGGCGCAAGATGGAGAACTCTGCCAAAAAGGTGTTATGGTTGCACTACACCAAAAAGCGCCCGTAGAAAAACAGTGCAAAATCACTGCGAAATAACACCGCCTACTGACTCTTGAAAAGAGGTTGGCCTCCGTTTTTTTACTGGAAATTCAAGATTATAGCCAGAAGTTCACTTTTCGTTTCAATTTTATAGGGGCTAGCCACTCGATTTTTTTTATTCGCCTTTCCCCAAAGATACCCCCAAAATAGTAGTAAAACTGTGCGCTCAGCTCTGAATGTAGCCGCCTGCCGATTTCATGTTGGGGATTTCTGTGAAAGAAATACCCCGAACTGGAAACTACCAGTCGAAAATGCGGGATTTATAAAAATATCTCTATTATTCCTCCTGATTATGACCTGTCTTATCGTAAAAACCCTGTGGGAACACAAAATATTGATGAGTTCGCACGCAGAAATCCAAGGATTTGGTGGAATGCACACTTATCACCATGGTCGCCAGGCACACCAGGGTCGAGTTTGGGTGGCCGGTTCTTGACACGGGTTTCTTGTTCTCGCGCTCGAACGGCGGGAACACGACTCAAGCACACTGTTCTCGGATTTCTGAACAGCTGCAAAAAGTAGAGAGATGGCTTCCAAAGCCATAGACAATGGGAAGTTTTACAAACTCAACATTAATAATTTTCCGTAACACAGAAATGAATGTTCCTGTTTAATATAGAAAAGAATTCAGCCCATCCAAACATTAACTCTCGAATAATGTAGCCTACATGGACGCCGCCAGCGATAACCGGTTGTTTCAGTGTTCCCGGCGTTCGAGCGGCCGACCCACGAACAACAAATCCAGCTGTTCGTGGATATACGAGAACAAGCCGCCTGTCTACTGAGAACATTCAAATAGAGTAAAAGGTCGTTGAGACATTGACATCCACAGCCTCTGATTATCTGAAAAAGGATTATGACACTTTCCTTTGAAAATAAGAAATGAAGGCCTGCACATGGCTGGAAGGGTAACGGAACGTTGGTGGAGGCTTAACACGAAACGTTACAAACAACGAATTAGTATTTCGAAACAGCGAATAAGTAATTCAAAATAACAAATTAGTAATTCTAAGAACGAATTAGTTTCCCATTAATTTCTTTTTAACTTCACTGGAACGATCGGGAGGATCTAATATTGAAGAAAGCAATATTAGGCCGTTGTACGGACCCCTGAATTCCCTCGAAAAATTACTTTTGTGGGTCATCTCTGAGAATCAACAATATTTTCGATGATTTTTATTTTTTTTAACAGGATTCCAAGTAACATGCAATTAACATGAAAAAATAGGGCCCGTGCAGCGCAGGGTTAAATGATGGAGACCTGGACATCTGCATGCAGTGAGAAGCAGCTTGATGACCTCAGTCAGGATATTTATCCTAATGACAAACCAGATGGTGAGGAGTCAGGTTTACTATCCCCTGGCTCTCCTTGTAGGCCTATGGCAGCCTCTACACTAGCAGAACTAGTCTCTCTAGGAGCCGCGGTAACACCAATAGTGACTACCAGTGCATCGTTAAGCATGCCTTTCAGAAAAAGGAAACTGAAGCTGATCGGTCAAATTTGGGTTACCTTCAAAGTAAACAAGACCAATCTTAGCAACGTTGCATGAGAAACTCCTCTCCATCCACAGACTCATACGAAGTTGAAAGAATGTGTGAATTTTCCTCAAGTTCATGCACTGATGAATTTAGTTTGCCTCATTGCATTTCTTCGCAACTATTCAATAGTCAGTTAGGGTGAAATAATAATTCTAAGACACTTTGAAGTTGTTTGCATAGTTTGCTCCTTGCGTGTTTATGCTTCTCAGTGGAGATGTTTTTTCATGATTGTGAAAAAAAATTATGTACCATATACTCCCATTAAGTGAATACGAAATGAGCCCTCGAGGGACTAGGTGTGCTTCATATGGGGGTTAAATACAGCAACACCGGTGTGAAAGCACAGGGCAAATGCGGCAAGAGCAAATTGAAATAGAAAACAAAGGCGGCAACATAAAAAAAAATAGGAAATGGAATACACAAAAATACTAAATGAGTTCTCTTGTAAAAGCGAAAGTGACTTTTAAGGTTTCAAATTTCTACAATATGAAGCGGTCAGTAAGGAAACGCTGAACATGCACATAAACATGTCAATAATTCTTACCTGAGACACAGGCCTAGTCTCACCCTCTTTCACCCCAACAGGCGCCCGTTGCTGCGTTGTTGTCCTTCGGCTGTCATCGTGTACAAGATTGAAAAGAATGTCGTACTGCGTTTCAGAGATCCGAAAATATTCAAAGAACTTGTCCTCATGTGATGAAAGTTCTCTTATTTCGTGTTGAACTCCCCTAACCTCTTCCTTTTTAGAATTTCATGCATCCACACGCGGTGTTTACGTCTGATGTGCTTCTGTTTATTAAAAGCTTCAAGACTGCTGCTTCCTCATCAACGTCTTCCATCTTGTTTGTTGCTATGGTAATATTTGGAGAAATGCGATTTGGCGTTTCTGGAATCCTTTTGCATCGTTAAGGTGTGTCCTGACATAACGATAATTTGATTTCGTTGTCGTTTTCGTTGTCGCTCTCGTTTTCGCTACAGTGTGATCGCTACTGTCGTTGAGACCGCCCTCTGCCGGTGATAAAAATCGTATTTCACGTTGATACGGCAAATTATCAAGCCTACCATATACCAGTGCGCAGCTGGAGGCTTACACGAACAGGGAAGGGGACGAGGGAATATCATCCATACATGCGATCTCCTCGTTTACCCTTGGCAATGTTAAAGTCTAAAAGGTGGGGGGGGGAGAAGAGAAAGTCATAAAAATCCTAAAATAATTGATGTGCATCCCTGAATGTGCCTTTTGTTTGCATGTGGTGCAATGGACGATAGGCCTACTCCTTCAAAATTGTATCAAACGACAGAATAAGGGTTTTTGTCTGAAGATGAATATTTGATTTGCTGTTATACTGCCCCTGTTAAACATGGGACCCTATCTCGCTGCGTTCTTTCCCCAAAGTCAGAAATTATAGAAACAATCTTCCTAAACTGAATTTCGAGATCTCTTATATAGATCTAAGTCTGCCCTAAAGGTTCTGCTCACGATTTTCAACAATGTCTGAACATGGAGGTATTCTACCTTCATGGTCTGAACGAGTAGATTCTATGAAACCCGACCAAGCATCCCTCTAGCGAAGGAAAGCAGAACGTGTCAGCGAAAATTTGAGCAGTCTGATTTCTTTAGTTAATAAATGCGTCTCTGAAGTCCAGTGTTGAAGTTTGCCCTGTTCCCAGCAGCTGACGGGTCTATGGAATATGCTGTACAGTGCAGCATGGTGTCCGTGTTTCCCAGTCGATTAAATAAAACCCCGGCAAATGTCCTCCTGGCGATAGAGAACGGAGTGATTCCGCGGTTAATTTGAGCAGTCTGGTTTCTTTCTTCTATTGTTCTTGTAGAGGGTATTAATGACTTCATCTGTCCTGTTACAGTTTACCCTATTCCCAGCAGCTGACACAGAGTCTAGTATACTATGGCGGCCGTGTTTCCATACTTGGTAGGAATTCGTCGATTATTGTAGCTTAATCACTTTCCAGCTGCTCAAAGGCCTTAGTAGGTTCTTGAAATGTTGGCGTCTTGGCACACTGTCGTAGAAGTTGGTACCTTAATACTTCTACACAAACACCCCTTGCACAAGGGGTTTGTGCTGAAACCCTGTCAGAGCGCAAGTATCCACTCCTAACCACGTTCAAATAACTCGGCAGGCACAGGGGAGTTCAGAGTCAGCGACTGCTGAAACCGCAGGGTATGCTGAACACACTATACAGTACATGTGTTTATGCATGCTCACAGTGCACATTAATTATGTCGGTGACCAGGATGGTTTCAGAAGGCCGTTTCAACCTCTTCTCGTTTTAACCCTCCACTTTTCTGTCGGTTGTAAAAAATGTAAATGCATGATGTTTCGTCATGGGTGTGAACAGTTACTGTTAAATAAACTTCTTGCAGCGGGGATTTTTTGCCAACATTTTCACCAGCTTGATTGCCCCAAACTTGTTTGTCACAACGCATCCTGTTTGTTTTCGTTTAGTTGTATTTATAAATTTACAAACCCTGATCACAGAAATTTATGAACATTATAATGCCAACTTTATTAGTTCCTTATCTCATTATGTTGTTTATTTTATGCTTCAACAAAAGCTGTTTCCTTTGTGGAATTCGCTCACTTTGGAAAGGGTTACAGTTTGCGACAATGATCTAAGCTTCATGACTGTCTTGGGCATTGCACGCGACATTAATTTTGGTGAGAAAGAATATTTTTTACTACGTATGGCTTTGACTGTAGCCTGCAGAAAGGGGAAACAAATGAAAACGTGGCTGCTTGGAATGGCCTTCACGAAAGGCGACATAATTTCTATCTTGAAGATAATAGAATCGAGAGATGGATTTTCTCTGTATGATGACATTGTCCAGGTTAACTCTGCACGGCATTTCCATGTTTCCATGGGAATAATCGAGCATCTCCGACAACCATTGCCTGGTTTCTTTGCTCCTAGAAGACAAACTGCCACTGTGAAAGCTGAGATGAATGCAAGAGTTAGCTATTCTTCATCCTAAGCACAGAGGTAGTGTTGCATCTTGTTTCAAACTTATGTACTGATTGGAGGGTTGAGTATTGACAGGATACACTAGAACAATTTCGTGTCGCAAATAAAAGTATGCTGAGCCTGTAAAACAACGCAGGATAATAAAAGCATGCATAGAAATGGAAAAATATGCCAAGGGATACGACCCGACATGCATCGGGGAATTCAAACAATACTACTTCTTAATTCCCTACTTGACTGATCGTGTTCATGTACGGTGGTATTGTTTGATAATAAATAATAAATAAACAAATAGGAGTGGGTTTCGGTTCGGTAATT